GTTATTATATTAGATACTAGGTAGAGATTCCTAGGCTAGGTACAGAGCGAACAGAGGGGGGAGAGCTAGAGGTATTTATGCTTCTTCTCCTCTGTCTGTATTTCTAAGCAGAACGTTCTAGACTCCTCTAGGTAGGTCTACTTAGTAATCTATGCTTAGTATTGCTGCATATACAAGCAAGATTATGTAGGTGCATGCGTAATTATATACGTTAGCATCTTACAGAGTAGGCTACTCTATTTATAAGCAGAGGGTTTAGAACATTTCTAGTTACTAAAAATAGAGAATAGTATATCTTGAGAAGGAGAGTAGATACAGGCTTTGTAAGCACACCATTCTAATCCTCTCTTCTAGGAGATTATAATAACAATGCTTAGGTAAGCATGGCGCTATACCTAAGAAAGAAATACGCTGGAGAAAGATTATAAGAACAAAGTCTCATAACTTTACAAATGCCTCTCTAGAAGCGCATACGCAAGCCAGCAGCGGTACCTATTCTCTATTGCTATCTTTAAGTGCTGCAGTGTGCTCTTTTAACTCCTAAATTGCCTTAGACTATCCTTTTAGTGCAACTGTTAATGCTAATAAAGAAGCCTTTCTTTTTATATTGTACATGTTACACTTATTAACACTGTGCTCATGTATCTTAGAGTGCAATAGATTAAAGTATAGCTTGTACTTGCACTTGCTGTTAGCTAAATAGCGCTCATAATCTATCCTAGTAGTCTATTTAGTAGTAAAGTTGTTAGCGTAGTGATGCAGAAACTAAGTAATCTAGCTCTTAGAGACCTCCTACTTTGTAACTGCAGAGGCGAAATTTTGCAGCATACTTCTAGTAGATAGCAAGCTATCTCTTATGCATCTTTCTATGTATTTAATAAGTGCCTCCTCCTATTATGGGCTAGGTGACTATTACTAGCGCGCTTCTTCTGCATTTAAGCGTGTATGACAGTTATGCTGCTGCAACAGTGTTATTTAGTTAAATTTAAAGATTTTTACAACTTAGTAGTATAATATGTTATCTCTAGCTTTATGCAATTTAAAATATTTAATTACTTCTTAAATTAGATCTATGGTGGTGGAGTTGTGACGCGTTGAAGTTGTGGGTATCTCAATGCTGTGATGTTCCAGGTGGCTCATCGGCTGAACTGGCTCATCGGGCGCACGGCCACGGTAACAGCTACTGCTAATTTTGGACAGAACAGACATCGCAGGGCATGAAGCAGACTATGAGACAGTAACGTTGATAGTAGAAGATGGAGAGTTGATCCAGAGGGATCAGGAAGAACATCCTCGTTGTGTAACGATGTTTGTCAACGGGACATGCATGTCTCTCGATCTTGTTTTGATGGGCATCTCATTCCTGCGACAGGGTTTCGCGAGGGCACAGCAAGACCCATTACTCTTTAACGGGATCTTAAAAAGGAGACATTCCCATAGTCATGCAGTTTGGTATTTTCTGGCGCACAGAAACATGATCTGTTTATGAATGCATTTGAATCTGGAAGCTGACAAGTGGTTAGATAGGAAGTAAGTCGATCAGAGCACGCAAATTCCTCATACATGCCTGCGTCCCTGCACACATGAGCTGGTCAAACGGCAAAAGTCCAGTAACACATCTTTGCATTCGCAGCTAAGGTTTTTTTATCGATAAAAAACCCCTTTTCTGCGCTTCGTATTCAACACTATTCTTTCAAGTCTTCACCTCTCACCTCATAGGACTCCTGAACCCAATAGCCCCAAACATACCGCCCTTCTTCGGCGTTATCATTGGCTCCGGCGTATTTCTCCCCGTACCCGCCTGACTCATGATCACCATGGTGCCCTGCCCCACACTCGCCCCTCCACAGCCAGGAGCTTTGAACCTGTACTGACTTCCTGTCGCGTAGATATCGTTGAGCATCTGCTCCAGCACGCCAGCGTCGACAAACTCTTCGTATTTGCGCCAAAGCTTTAGCGCGGTGGTGGCGTCTTCAATCGAGTCGTGGGTATCTTGCTGGATGCTTTCTTTGAGGACGCACCACGCGAGGAATTTGAGGTTGAGTTTGCGTTTGTACTCTGGAAGGAAGAAGAGGTTGGAGGTATCAACCACTTGATTTCTGGGCACGTGAATGTTGATTGTGCGGAAGTCATTGGCCAAGCTGTGGCCAACAAAAACGCAGCCGAGATTGAGTAGGAGCCAGAGTTTCTTGTATGCGTGCTTGAGGCTGACGAGAGCGTGAGGCGAGGTCTCACGATTCAGGTCGCCGGGCGAGATACCAGACCAGGCCGTTAGGTGGTCGATAACGGGCTCGCTGACCGCGATGTAATCATCAATGAAGGGTAGGCCGGCGTATTCGCCTAAGCCACGGCAGACAGACACACGTGCAAGGCCTTTGCGGTCTGGTCGAATGGTCTGCCGAGTGCCATCGGCTTTCATCTCTATTTCTTCCGCCTGGAGACGGATGAACTCCGCATCGATGGCAACAGGGTAGCCCGGTGTTGGCGCTTCGGCTTGGGCTTCGAGTAGCTTGAATCTGTCCTCTGGAGGTCTGTTGTTCGATGACCAATATCTGTATAGAATCGAGGTGTCGAGTTTGTCTCTCCAAGAATCGTCAATCTTGCTGCGAGCTGCCTTCAACTGATAGGTTAGTACGGAAGGTAGCTTCCATCCTGGCTCAAAGCGCAGCGCCTCCTCCTTCGGTATCGGCCTGACCAGAAAGTCGTTGAATAAGTGCCACTTGTCTACTGTCGTGGCTTCGCGGGACGATGGGGCGGTGTTGATTGTGGCAACAAGATGAGGCTTTTGGTGCTCTCCGCTGTTGATATCGGCAACGACTCCGATCAGCTCGAACACCATAATATCAAATACGCCTCGTTGCAGGTGCAGCTTCAAGTCCTGGCCTTCAAAGCAATAGAACTGGCCTTGATCTACTATGATTCCAATCTCTTGCGGCAGCCAATTCGGTATGGACCACAATAGCTTTGCTTCGTGGCTCTGAATTGCGGCATTGAGCATCAAGACGCCGGGGATTGTCTGTATAGTCTTCCTCTGCACCATCTGCTGATACCTGTTGCACTTGGTGCACCACCCTCGTGTCTGGTCCTGGCGCTCCACACTAGCTTTGAGAATTTGAGAAAAGGTCGGACGTGGAATCCTTGTATTTTTCATGACATGTTTCGCTGGGTACACGAGGTCGTTCACGAAATTTTTACCTCCGCGAGCAGTCTCGTTCGCGCATTGGGCGCACCTCATGCTTGCCCTGGCTTGAGTCTCGAGGACGTGGTCGATGGGCGATGGACCTGAATTGACTGGCAACATTTGCCGAACTTCGTCTGAGATCTTGTCCAGCAGAAATCGGTTGAGGTTCTGGACCATGCTTGTGAGTGCGACGTTCGGCGAAAACTCTTCTAACAGGTTCAACGACACTGCATTGGACAAGCTGCTGAATGTCTTCAAAAAGTTCGAGGCTTGGCAGTTTAGTCCAGCAGCCTTCTCGAGCATGTCGATTAAGAAGCCCAGCTCGCACAGAAGACAAGTTTCGAACAAACATGCCGAAGCAGTATGCTGCAATGCGATATTGCGGATCAAAGGTGTAAAACGCAACAACTGCAGCAAAGAGTTGGCATATGAATTGGCAATGTGCGTCTCCAGCCCAGAATAAGGCGTTTGATTGTAGTAGCTGCATTCGAGTCAGCAGGAAGGCGGCCAATGCGGACAAATTGACCATACGCAAAGTCGAAGTCGTCGACACCAAACTTGCTGTACTTGATTTCCACATTGCCATACATAGATGGCACCTCTTTACGCGTAACATCTTCCAAATGAAGGTCTGTCAATGATTCCATCGTCTCGGCAGACTTACTGTCAGCTTCACTGTTGTAGGATTGGACAGCGCGAGATTGCTCGCTCAAGAACTTTGGCGCAGACAGTGATTCGGCAATACGGTCGGACTGCCGTCTCGACTCTGCCTGATTGCGCCGCCTCGTGCGAGGATTTTTCGTGAAGAAGCCCATCTCGGTTCGTGACATGCTGTTCAGGATTGCAGTGTCGATCTTCGGTGGTGGCGCACCCACCTCGAATACAAGATGGCTCGGCCAGCTGGAAAGGAGATTCTCTTTGTAATATGGCATACCAACAGTGTTCAAAGGTCTGTTTAAGTGAGTTGGCTAGTCTGTAGAAGTGCAGAAAACTTACGTTTCCAGTGACCAGTCCATAGCAGGGGGCGATATAGGGTGATCGGCAAATTCGGTGGGGTTGCTGTATTCTGGGAAGTGCACCTTCGAGGGGGAGCCCCAGAGGTGGACTTGCCCGTTGCTATCAGACAAGCCAAACGCTTCACTTGAGGGTGCCATCTCGAAGCCATGGAGGTACGAATCATACAAATTTATCTGCCGAAGATTCGCAGCATCTGGGTTCATCAGGTCGATTACCTGCATCTGCCCGTTGTGCGACGCAATTATGGCAGTAGTCGACATGCGAGGGTGCATTCGAACGAATGCTGCACCAGTATGGAAAGGGATTGGCGGTAACTGCTTCAATGTCTTCAGGGAGAAGACGTGTGTGAACGGGTCGAGCATGTAGGCGTTCTGCTGCCTAGGTGACCACCCGCATGTCGCCAGGAAATCGCCTTTCGCGTCCATATCACTTATGCTACCAGTGTGTCCGTCGAAGGATTTGATGTTCGAGAGCGAGTTCGAGTCAAGAATGTGGATGCCGCCAGTCTTGGTAGCTGCGCATATGTACTGGCCGGCGCGCTTCATGATGGTGTACTGGGCTTCAGCTGGAAGCTAGACATGGTCAGCACAAGCGTACGTTCTGTGTCAAATCCCACACTCACGATTTCGGTGATGGCGCCCTTTTCCACGTCCAGCTTGAACATTCGGTCCTGGCATCCTGCGACAAGGATCTCGCGCGTGCCCTTCGAGGTAAAGTTCATGCACTTGAGATCCTTGAACTCGTTGCTCCTGCCCATATATCAGTATTTCCGTCATGTAAGACGTCTCTCAGCCAAGCATACGTAAGGTGCCATTGAGTTATGCCGCGCCTGTGGGCGTAGTGCACGCTCTGCTTCGAGATGGACAGGACGCCCTTCTCGGTAAACAGAAACTGCTTGACGGGCCCCTCGGATGCAGCATGGCCGCGGTAGGAGGTATATCGCTCGAGAGTTGCGCCGTAGAAGGAGGTTATGCGCCCCTACGGAGATGTGAGCGATTGCAGCAAGGGTGGGGGCAGCTAGGGTGCTCACAAGGCTGTTGCCGGTCCACAGCAGCTCTTGAGATGTGTCAAAGGCAAAGGTTGCTACGGGCGTGGGAGGGTGATGCGATCCTGGAGGAGGCAGCTGCACGTATGCAAGCTATGCGTTCATCAGTCATCGTTCATCGCGCAGAGCAGCGCACGTTGTAGCGGGCGCAAGCAGCATTGGCGGGGCATACCTCGTCCCAATCCGCTTCCATTCTAACAGCACGTTCGCCGGGGTTATGTGTCTGTGATGCGGCGTCCACATGCTCCAGGCAGCCTCATCGTTCTCCAGGAAGCGAGTCGCGGAGACGCGAGGGAGATCGCGGCGCGTCTGATGCTTGATTGGCTTGGAGGTGGGGCAAACAAAGCTACCTAGGCTCGGGGCACGGGCAAGTGGTACTCAGTACGCCAAAAGCACCTGCACAAGGCGACTAGTCAGGCATGAATGTGAAGTGAAGGAATATTAATTTCTGTTGGACGAATACGTATCTACAGCTGCTACTGTTCGGTTATCGGAACCCTCCGCCCATAGCTGATATCATCCCAACCATACATTATGCCTTACCTGACAAAGCTGAGCCGAGATGCGTCTAACGCGCAGCCAAACTGCAGCACAAGTTCGTTCTGGGTATCGGGCGCCTATTGAGCAGATCGATCTTAGTCTCTTGCGTCCAAGGAGGACATTGATAAGAGCCTAGATGTCATACCGAGTGAATACTGATGCCGAACGCTGTGAGACCCTCCAGGGCTAATAGTCGAATCGTGGAAAGTGGAAAGTAACCTGGAGAAGGTCAGCCCGGTCTAGAGGATGATTTGGCAGGCTGCACTGGAAGCTGCAAATGCTCCATTGTAACTTCGGAGAGCTATTGAACCTCGAGAGCACAACGTAAGCCAGATTCGACGCTGCACATCATTGGGAACGTACCTTCGAAGGATCGTCGGCAGCGCCGATGTGCTCAGTACTTGGCTTCATCGTCATCGTCAGCATCTTTCTTGTGATCATAGCGTTGGCGTTTGTGGGTCTCAGTCATGCCCTTGCCAGAGCCTGTAAAGCCAACTCTGCTGCCAAAGGCATTGCTTGTCCTGAACATCGACTCCTTCTTCGCAATCTTCTTGCCAACACCCTTGCTTTGGAAGTCCTTCCAATTCCCAACACTCTTCTTCAGCTGACCCTTATTCGGCACCCGATTGACGCGCTTGGGTTCGTCGAGAGCTGCGCCAGCTTTCGCGGCTTGTGCATTCGGATTGACGCTGACAGGACCCGAAATAACATGCGGAGTCGATGTTGTAGGGGTACTTGGTGAAGGCACAGCGGCAGGCTCGGGCTCAGGCTTCCTCTTGCTCAGTAGTGGGCGCACACGGTCGCTGTCGACGGTCAAAGTATCTTCGTACTCGATGAAACGCACAAGGTACTTTGGTGCAGAAGCCGAGCCAAGGATACTCTGAATCTTTGCCTTGTACCACGACCTGTCAGCCCACTGCGCCTCGCACATGTCACCAGTGCTGAAGACTACTGGCTTCTCAGGCTCTTGCTTCTCCATAGCTTTCTTGAGGAGAGGGTGCTTCTCTGGGTCGAATTTTGGTGCTGCTGGGGCGGGCAATTGGGGGAGCTGTGCCTCGAGAGGCTCGAGTTGCGCCCTGTATCCTGCCATGGTTGCATCGTGCGCTGCCACTGCCTGCTCTGCTTCTGTTTTCATGGCTTCCCACTGCTCACGGTCTTCACCGGGGCCCATGCCAGCCAGCTCTGCGTCGATTCCTGAGATCTTTCGACATATCAGTAAACTGTATTTGCTTCACTGCTCTTCGGAATTCACCGTTGTAGCCCACTCCTCGCGCTTCTTCTCTTCATTCTGGATGTCGCGCTTGATGTACCATATCTGGTCCTTGATTGCCTTGATGTCAGCCATTTTTCTATCAGCGCTTTGTGCGTATAGCAACTGTATCGAAAGTGGTGTCGCTGGGTGGTGCACGAAAGTCGCGTCGAGAGAGTCGCGGCGAACAGACGATTCGGAATCGGAAGGCAGCCGCAAGCCTTGGCACCTTCTCCACTTTGAACCCTGCCTTCAGCCCTACGAGCATGGAGGGCAGTTACACAACGTGGGGAACGCTGGTGAAGGTCTGGAGCAGCTGGTCATCCATTAGCGTCCGTCCGCGTGCTAGTCAAGTGCTATGCACCGCAACAGTAATGATGACCTGCTCCTCACGAGCTGTGCAGGCCATTCATGGAGCTTCTGCAGAGTGCACATACGAGCTCGGACCCAATTCTGTGCCGCAGCCAGCCTCAGATCGAAGGAAGGAGCGACTGATGCGACTGCCTCAACTCACGCCATCGCATTGTCAGACTTAGAGCATTTTAAAGGTGGAGCATTGGACAATGATTTTTCTTGCCCCGTCAGGAACAGGCACGGCGATCGGCTCATGCTCTTCGATGGCGTTCGAGGGACCCCACTCAAATGGCATTTGTAAGCTCATAGCCCGTGAGTCTCAGGTCTCTGCTGCGCCCTTCTCCCCTCCATGCACCCAGTCACACCTCTATTGTGACCTATCAGTGCTGTCCCTCATTCATTTCTGCCGGCGCTCCCCGCGGTGCATAATCCTTCCGTAAAGTCGCCCGTTTCATCTGACAGGGCTCACCAACGGACTAGGCCTCGAAGGCAGCGAGGCTACGTACAGACGAATTCGCTGCCGGTCCTCCTGCATCCTCTTGACACCTTGCGACCCGAAATCGTGATATCCGGACTGATTCTTCCCACGGACGCCATTGAAAGCGTTGTGCGTGCAGAACGCTCTCGACTCTCCATCTACCACATTCACACGCACCTCCGCTCTGATCCGCGCCGCGAGCAGCTGGTCAGCACCGCTCCGCAGCGTGCTGCGTCATACAAACATCCCGAGTCGCGGAGTGCCCACAATTTCACAAAGTGGTGTTCCCGCGGGTGGCGAAAAGGCTACTCAGCATAGCAGATCAACGGCCAGCCCCTCCAAGCCACCGAGCGTCCTGTCAAAGAGGTCGGCTTCCCCAGACACCTTGACCCCACACCCACCAACACGATGTCCGGCACTGGCAACGACTTCCAGAACGGCGCGCCGTTCTACCTCGACGCGACACAACAGGACCTGCTGTTAGCAGTTCTTGCCTCGAATAACCAGAACCCCAACGACCTCTTCCCTGCTATCAACGGTCTTGATGAAAAGCCGACCTTTGGCAATGACCAGTTCCAATATCCTGTCAACAATCTCGACCCCTCCACGTTCTTCTCGCCACAGCAAAGCACCACCGCCAATACATTCGGCATAAGTGTCGATGAGAGCCCTTTCATTGACTATCTCGATGGCGACACTACGCTCGAATTCGATGGCGCCAACAACGGAGCTCGCATGATTGGCTCTCTGCCTGGCGACTCCCCTGAAGGGGAGTCGAACGAGAAGCGCAAGAGCCCAGACGAGGATGGCGATGAAGACGATGAAGAGGGTGGCGGTAAGCGCCTGGCAGGCGATGATAAACAGGCCAAGAAGCCTGGCCGTAAGCCACTAACGTCAGAGCCTACTACAGTACGTTCGCCCAGCAGCATCTGAAGACTGCGACTGACACCAAGTAGAAGCGTAAAGCTCAGAACAGAGCTGCCCAGCGAGCTTTCCGAGAGAGAAAAGAGAAACATCTGAAGGATCTTGAGACTAAGGTTCAGGAACTTGAGAAGGCATCGGATGCTGCCAACCACGAGAATGGCTTGCTTCGTGGTCAAGTTCAGCGATTGCAGACGGAATTGCGCGAGTATCGCAAGCGTTTGTCGCTCAACAGTACTGGCGCGAGTCGCATTGCCCCCGCTACGGGTTTCAGCTCCATGCTCAACACCAACAATAGCAGTTTCCAGTTCGAGTTCCCCCGTTTTGGAGGACTTCCTGGAGGCCAACTTCTGGAGAACGGTCCGCTTTCGAAGCCAAAGTCAGCTTCCATGTCTACGGCTCGGCCAGCTGCTCAGACTTCCAGTCCACCGAACACGGCGAATGGTTCCCTTGTCCAGTCCCCTGTAAACGTCAGCCCCATGACAAACGGCTCGCCCTTGGGCAGCACTGCCAGCGCACGTCAACCCAGCAACAGTGCACATAAGCCTTATCGCAGCAGCACAGACAGCTCCGTCGTATCACAGTCACGTGTTTTCCAGTTCAATAGTGGCTCGTCGACACATTCGGACTCGCCCTCCACCTCATCTACCTCACCGACGAACCAGGACTCGTCATGCGGTACATCACCAGAGCCGGGTCATACTTCGCCAGACCAGAAAGACACGATCGCAGACGGATATGTGTGTCATGGCAACTCGGAAGGTGAGGTTCTCTTCTGCGAAAAGCTCAACATGGCCTGCGGCAACTCACGCAACCCTGTCCCTCGTGCCAAATCAATGTCCAAGTCTGATGACAAACCATCTCCTGCAGTCACCCAAGCCAAACCACCTGGCGCCGATCTCAATGGTATCGACTTTTTTGCCAATCAAAACGATAACACGTTCGAGCCGAGTCTCTTCGGAGAGTACCGCGACACAAATACCGCCATTATGGGCACCGATGGCGATTTTAACAGCGGTTTCTTTAACGATGCTTTTTCCAACACTGGCTACGGCAGCCCCTTTCACTTCAGTGACACACCAGCCGTGCAGAAGCCGAACCCTCTAGAGCAGATTGAGCGCATTCAAGATGGCGAAGAGGAGGTCGTTCCCGGCGAGGATATTGACCAGATGCTCAACTGCCACAAGATCTGGTTAGTGTCGAAGCGACCTCTCAGTCGTCCAGACACACTAACAGTCAACAGGGACAAGCTTTCAAGTCGCAATGACTTTAAGGACGGTACCATCGACATCGACAACCTGTGCTCGGAGCTTCGCGCAAAGGCACGTTGCTCAGAAAGCGGTGTCGTGGTTGATCACAAGGACGTTGAAGAAGCGCTTAAGCGCCTGCCGAAGGACCAACAACAGGCGGTTTGGTCTCCGTCAGCATTATGATTTCTTTTCTTCTTATACCAGCTTTTGCTTTTGGCGATACCAGTCATTCGTTGAGCGCGAACCAGCGACTTTTGGACTCTGTGACGATACGATGACAATCCCTGTTGGGACACTGGCGTTGATGGAGCACTGCGGACGAGCACTTGAACGGATCATTACTCGAAGAGCATCATGGGGACGACGAACAGTCATTTTTGTTGATTTCAAGTCAGCTTCGTCTAGTCTGTAGTTCAGTTGATTCGAGTAACTACTCAATCGCCGGGATGCAGGTTGTTCCTGCGGGTGCGACATCGTGCATGTCTCAAGGCTATGTTGATCACGCGGCGCGTTTCCTTGATCTGCCGATCAGCATCCTTGCGTCAGCCGCACACGTAAACGGCAAGCACGGCCAGCCCCACGAATGAGAGCCTTGCATATTGTTAGCTCCCGCAGTCAACCATGCCATGCCTGCGTCAGGAAACAGGCTTGCGTGCACCATGTGGGATTTCTGCAATAATGAGTTGCAGCGTGTACGCTCCACCCTTCCCTCACTATCGCCAGCTTGGTGGTTGACTCCGCGACTTCCTCAATATCGATCGTGCCGTAATCGCCCCAATGGTTGGCAGTCGGGCTTCATATTCAACATGCAGGCACTCTCAAGTCTGCGACGCTTCTTCACCAGCTCCAGTTCCTTTATGAACGGGCACGCGATCGGACTGCCTCGGAGCACCTCTGCGAGTCCTCGAAAATGGATTCGTCTGTTGCTCACCATTTCCATCGTGGGCATAGGCGTCAATTTACTGTTCTTCGTCGACTCCACCGTTGTCGAGAAGCTTCCGAGCCGAATTCTGGGCACGCAAGCCTTTCATCCCAAACCCTACGCGCCCGCGCCTCACAGCCTCGAATCGCAAGATGATGTCAAGGGGCAAGACTACTGGCTTTGGGAGACCAAGTCACAGTTTCACAAAAAGGAGAACATCGATTGGAACGTTGGCATCATGGACGAGTGCTTCCTGTTCCCCAAGCATCTCAGGGAGAAAGTGCAGGTCGTACTCAAGACAGGAGTGGCAGACGCCGGTGCAAGGACGAACGCAATGGTCAACACAATCATCAAGTGCATAAACAACGTGCTTGTCATCTCAGACCAATATCACAAGTACGGTCCCCACAACGCCGTCGATGTGCTCGCAGATCTGCCAGCAATGACATATATGAGGGAGGAGGATTATGAGGCGTACGAGGCGCAGAAAAATGCCACTCGTGATGGCGTCGAACTACACCAGGGCCATGAAGGCTGGAAGATTGACAAATACAAGTTCTTGCCAGCAGTGGAGAGGGCGATCCAGCTCAACCGCAAGGCTGAGTGGTATATCTTCCTCGAATCAGACACGTATCTCTTCTGGGACAACGTTTACCGCATGCTGGACAATTACGATTCTTCAGTACCACACTACTTCGGCTCGCCGTCTCCTGGGAAGAAGCATCGCCCCGACTCGAAGTCAGAACACGAAGAGCAGATCTGGTTCGCAAACAGTGGCTGCGGCTTCACATTGTCTACAGCTGCTGCGCACAGACTGGTTGATCGTCCACACAATGCCGTCGGTGTTCAAGGGCCTCGACTCACGATTGAATACGAAGACGATATCAGGAACGATTGCTGCGGAGACTCCATTCTCGGATGGGCCCTCCATGACAAAGCTGGAGTGGATATTAGCGGCTTGTGGCCTATGTTCAACCCACGCGGGCTTGAAGACGTGCCGTTTGGCAAGGATTATTGGTGTGAACCTGTCATCACCTTGCACAAGACAGACCCACACGTGATGAAGGACCTGTGGACATGGGAAAATGATCAACACCAGCAACACGAACGCCCCTTGTTGTACAAAGATCTCCTTTTCTCATACCTTGGCAACTTCTCTCAGCGCGACGATTGGGACGCAGCCTTCGACGCAGGGTTCCAGCTCGACGTGAACTCCACAGTACACTCAAGCCTCGACGCCTGCGAAGCTGGATGCTTTGCGCACCACGAATGTCAACAGTACACTTGGCATGGAGCGCACTGCTATTACTCGAGGGCACTATACATTGGTCGTGCGAAAGAGCCGGACGGTTATCATGAAGAGGAGGATCGAAAGTACGTCAGTGGCTGGGATATCAATAAGATACAAACATGGAGTCTGCAGCATACCTGTGAAGAGGGGCCGCATTGGGTGAAACCAAGCGTGAAAAGAATATACTGAATGTCTCGAGATGTTGGCTTGAGGGATCCGTTGGGAGCTAGGCGATAACCATACCCGCACGATTATCCACCGTTGAAGTACGGTCCGAGCCTGTCAGTCATTAGTGGTGATACTCGACTCGACTTTGGTGGAGTCTCCAAAGCCACCGCTGTCGGTGAGCATTGCTTACATCGACCACCGTATATTACTCTCTACTCGAAAGACTTTCTACCACAAGCCGCATCGCTAAGTAGCTTCGGTACAAAGTACCGATCAGCTACACCTCCTCCAGCATGCAAACAATAGTCAATTTTAGGAGGCTTGGTTTTCACCGGAAGTCATCGCGTTGCATTGAAAGCAGAGTTAGCGCAGCATTGAGCAAACCGTACAGACCTATAGCCACACATGTCGTGACTCGTAAGGCACATCGTATATTAAAATCGCAATACGCGAATAGAAAAGTTCGGCTCAAAACAGGAGGATAGGCACTACTGGTGCGCGGGGACCTCGACGCGAAGCTAGTGAACTCACAGAAGGCAAGCCTTCTATAATCGCCGCCTCATTCCCCGGAAGAACGGATGATCGGAAAGCCTATATATATCCGCACGCAGGTGCAGGGAAAGTGAGCCGACGAGGTTTCTCCTAGTCCCATCATTTCGGGCATAGGCGCTGGCCCGTTTCGAAGCCTTCAACGCGTCTGACAAAAATCTTGTGTCATGCGCCACCAGATCATGAAACCTCGAGCCGCGATCGAATGACTTGACAGTCTGGAGTCGCATTTGTGGCAATTTGCTGAGCGGGACCCAGCTGGAGCCTTCCGGAGCCTACTCCCCATCCAGGCCCCGTGATGAATCGAGCTGTAAGGAAGTTAGAGCTGCCGTCAATGGCATAATATGCAGCGACACGGTGCGTCTGCGGTTAAGTATTGTCTTATGGAAAGTGAGGTTTGGAATCATTTGCCTCAATTCAATCCACATTCTTTCTTCTTCACGGAAACCCATGTCTCACATGTCTCACATGTCTTTCTGGTAGTAAGACACGTCCGTTATGTCGCGACTCTTGACTATCCTGCGCTGGCCACTCATCGCTGGCGCTGTGCTTCCCCGGATGGCGATGGAGATGACGCTCCTGTCTGCGCGACTCGTAGCCAGAGATAATGAACGTACCATCACAACTAATCCTGATACTGGACACTCGTTGATGCCTGACGAAACCAGTATAGACCGAACGGCTTATGACGCCGTTGCACTGTTCTATACGATCGTGCTCGCCGTCTTCTTAGGTAGGTACTTGAAACTGCTCGGTTCTAGGACTAATGATGTGCATTGTCTATAGCACTCTGTACTTCTAAGTCTTGTCAGAATTTCGACTCAGGACACTTCACAGCAATGTCCTTCTCAAACGCAACTTCACCCATTCTCTTCATATTTGGTCTTGGCTTCATCGTTCGTGCCTCTGTTGTACAAACCGGCCAAGGACTGCAGACCCACCAACTCTTCTATGTATCAGCGATGATCTGCCTGGTCTTCCACATCGGCAACAAACTTGCCATGTAAATTCCGTGGCGCCTGTTGCTCGAGCTCAACTGACCATAACGCTTAGTTATATCTTCCTTCTAGAACGTGCCCGTGTTGCCCGCGCTCCATTCGTATCTCGCCTCAAAGACCGCGTCTGGCTGCTCGGTATATTCATCATATGCGGCGGCTTCGGCACTATCGCCATCATCGGCTACACTTCGCCCGTCGTCGAGCTCGACGGCCGGTGCCGTATTGGGCTCCCGCCCACGTCAGCTTCCTCCTGCTCTGCTTCGATGTCGCAGTCAACTTCGTACTGACTGGCGTGTTCTTCTGGCTTCTCCGCCCGGTGCTAGAATTCCATGGTTTGCTGAAGATGAGCACCTGGCTCGTCGAGAAGTTCACGAGTAAAGTGAAGCACAACATCAGGAAGAGAGAGATTGAGGCTCAAACGAGTATTAAGGGAATCATGCTCAAGTCTGGGAGGAATGAGAACATGAAAATCCTTCTACAGAAGTGCCTGATTACGAGTACACTTGTCATGCTCCCCACGGTCGCGAATATGACACAATTCTACATCATGAATAGCAGAGAGCTCGAATGGGTGTGTTTGACGATCCACACGCTTGATGGAAAGTTGATCTTGTAAGAACACTTCGATGCAGGGTGCTGGTAGGCGACAGTTTCTTGGGGCGTCATAGCAGTCAATTGGCTCACCATCGGCTCCGTAAAAGCGGAGTCCAATCTCACCACTCTCATGAGCCATCACACACTTCACAAGGCGCCTGGCTGCAGTCTAGACCCCACCAGCTGTTTCTACATAGGGCTCGCTGCCCACAACGAACCATCCAGCCACGAAAGGAGCCAGGAAATGGCGGTGCGCACTGGACAGGCGAGCTCTAACACCGCTGAAGTCCCTGTCTTCTACAAGGCGGCGAGTCTGAATGATGAGGGTGGTTTACTCGGGAGTGGTGGGGTCAGAGAGCGCTGGCATTTGGAGACGGGGCTGGTGGATGCGAAAGAGAACTGGGACGAGGAAGCTGGAAGTATACCAACCTCACAAGTCCCAAGGTTGAATGTGTTAGAAAGAATGTGGGGAGATGGCTGGGCTGATGAGAGCAAGATGTGGATCACGATTGTTGATAAGGTCGTTAGAGAAAGGGCGAGTGAGGAGAACCTATGGCCGAGGAGGTGTTGAGCGAGATCTGGTTAGGGGGGAGACGATCATGGAGACTCTCCACTGCATTTCCGGCGCTATTGGGTGGCACTTTGACTTTGGTCTTTTGGCATTCTTGGTGTTTGTCGTTTGATCTCTTTGACAGTAGATTTTGGTGGCCGGTCATCATTAGTCACGCTTCCCCTTTGATTAGTTAGACGCATTGAATAGCTCTAATGAAAGCCTCAGCAGGTTCTGGTCTCACGGAACAACTCTGTAATGGAGTACACTGAACCTTGATGAAGGCAAGCGCTGGAAGGTATTATGCAATGTCAAAGCTGTGTGATAATGTGGAAGGCGAGAAAGTCAGGATTCTGAGAGCGCATGCATACACGAATTCATTGTACGGATTGACAGATATCATGACATATCTCACAGGTAAGTCGCCTACACAGGTGAAGTGCCTACTTGACAAGGTCCATGCTAAAGACTTTCTCATATAATATTGTTGCGGTATCAAGGGCAAATGCAAAAAAGTGTATTCTGTTGTTCCGTGTTGTTCTTCTGCTTGTGTCTTGCCTCTCCAAGGCTCGCTGCGGGGTCTGTTTTGATGACGTGTTTGTGATGCAGCTGAGGTAAGAGGTGCTCAACAACATGAGGAAGTAGTACCAGACCACCGCCAACAACACGTGATCCGCTTCTCCTCTTAACCGTCACACATTGCCTATTGTCATAAAAAGTCAAGAGGGGTGTTAGGGAGGCTTTAGGTGGTGCATCACGATCTCAACTGTCACTACTTCATGTGGGCACAGTGTGAACCTTCTGAGTAAACAGAGATGACAATTCGACCGCAGGCATCTGTACTAGACTGCTACATGATCTCTACATAACGAAGCCGTGTTTGGTCGCGACCATGCGCTTTTTGTGGAGCGTTGACTGGGCAAGCTGGATATGGAACAATTTTCCACCTTCTCCTGCTGTTCAGCTGAGGAAGCTTCTCTTTAGCATCCATATAACCACCAAGATAGTCGCGTTATACGCCAGACTAGTCGCAGGTGGAACCTCCAGTACCAGTCATAGGTGTCCCAGTTGTATCGATCGCTCCGCCTGAAACGGGGAAATATCCACTCTTGGCTTGGAACGCACAGTCACGGAACCAGGTATCACCGTCAATTCGTTTGCCGGAGGCGGCAACGCACTAAGTTGTTAGAATATTACACTAGTTCGAAAGGTGTATACTTACACGACCGGCACCTGGATCGTATTTGGCCTATTAGAATTAGCTGACGATGGTTCTAGGGACTTAAGAGACCTTACAATATCAGAGAAGGTGTTCTGGCAGGTATTGAAAGTCAACTGCCAGTCATAGCGCCAACTTCCATCTTGGTTCTGAATCTGACAGTCGCATCGCTTGTGGTCCTTAGCAACCGCAGCTGAAAGAACAAACGGGAGAAGAGCAAAAATAAAGTGCATTGTAGGAAGCTTTAATAATTGTATGAATGTTAAGTGCGTTGCTTAGAGAGAATTGAGTTGTGTGCAAAAGAGATGTACTGCCTGCTAAGGAAGAAGTCAGCATCTTTATATCTTTCAAGACTTGAGCATAGCTGCGCTCATCATTCCATGCAGGTGAAGTAGAATGTTGTAGCCCTACCAAAACCAAACTAATCAACTGCGAACGGTCCGAAGATAATTCGTACTCATCAGAAGCAACAGCGGACCTAGAACCCAAAGCTCAAGAGTTACGAACAACCCCTACTTTACTCGGCCAAGATGAGTGGTCAGATATCAACTAATTGGGGGATTTGTCCCGGTCTAACTCCGGACATCAGCGCTGCCGTATCTCTGATAATTGGCCGCTTACCGCTCATTCCATCTGACCAAACCCCTGACCTTTAGTTAACTAGGTATTAGCTAGGTGCGAAGCTGTTGCAAAAGATATATCCACTAGCCTGTGCAGCAAGAGGTTAATTGATAAATCTTTTGCTGCGCGACAGTTATGAGCCTGGAGCCACTGAAACTGCGCAAGTGAGCTCTAAGTGGATCCTACTGTGTGGGAATAGACAGGCGATCCAATGTGGGGCAAAAGGTCGTATATCTATTAGGATAAACTACTTCGTATTGTAGGAACGATATCGTAAGGGCCCAAGCTGGACAGATTTGTTTAGTTATGTGCACGTGGGCCAGGTTGTAGGTAGAAGCACGGTCTTTGGCGCGTCAGTCTCGTATTTTTCAGCTAGGACACAGAATTGTACGTTAACCAATCAGCTGCTTATCGCGTCGATCGCGCTATCCAATCTCGGCTCTTCGTCGGCCTAGAGTTAATAAAGCCACATCCGACCAAAGACAGTGTTGTGGGAAACGCAAAGGGGAATCTTGACAGAGACAAGAGACAATAGTAAAGACTTTAGAGTTGTAGTGTTAGCTATCTTGTGCATTATTCCAGCAGCAACATTCCATAGAGCCTTCATCACAACCCCGTTATCACGATTGCTCCATCTCAGCTCGAGATGGGCCTTTGCTAAAGTAGAAGTTACAGCACCTTATGTTGCAGTCCCTCTGGACCTTAAGATGTGCCTCTGCAATCAGATTAGATGTGTAAGCATGTCACTACTGAATTAAAGCGTTAGTTTAGCAATTGTTTAGCAAATTACCTGTAGCTCTGTCGCTTCTGTGATGATTGTTGTTAACACAAGAGTTGCCAAGAAGTCAAAGCCTGAAGCTTGCTTACATATCGTGGTTGGTATCCCTACACAGACTGTTCAATCCGCGCCACCTCTAACTATCATAGGTATAGGCTGAATCTCACACAACTGAGATTATACGGTGAATTTGCCTACTTATAGAGCTTTGCAATGAATTGTCTCCACTTACGCTTAAGTCCGAGTTAACTCTATTGGGGGGGGGACGCTTCTGATGGATTTTGCTGCCAGAACTGTTAGAGCCGAAAGATGGCACAAGGCAACTAGTGATCTAATTCGTACGTTTCTTGCCAATAATCAAGCTCTGTAAAGGTTCCTTATACCAGCAACAATAGAACTATTCATCTACATCTTCCTTTAGATTAGATAGTAGTAATAAGTCAATGCACAGAGTTAACCTAAACGCAAAGCATCTAAGTTAGTCTAGGTTGTTAATATGAGGCTGTAGTACGACACTAGGTACTGCCAAAGCCTTAGGGCTTCGTATTGGTGATATCTAGCTGTTAAGTGATCGTCAAACAGCTCAGACTAAGGAACCAAGCGGCTGCCGAGTCTGCCGAGACGTAGCTTTCAGACTGTAATTATTCTGACCGCATTCGTGCAAATCTCCGGCAACGGGCATTTTTCGTATTGTTATCGTCTAGCTGATGGGTGATCGTCAAAATGCTTAGGTTGAGAAATCGAGTGGCAACAGAGACGTAGCTTTCAACCTGTGATTGTTTTAACTGTGTTGCTGCAAATTTCCGACAACGGGCTTTCTTCGTAGGTTTCCCTTTTCAGGCAACACCCTGGAGCTTTAACCTCTTTTCTGTAACGTAGCCCTTCATGTTAGCTGAATATAAAGTCGTCTGTATTCTCCCTCTTGCAGTTTATACCAGATACTTCTCAACTACCCTACATTCATTACAGCATCGTCGGTCGTATACTTCTTAGAAGCCACCATTCCAAGCACGGTTAAACACACTTAACGTCATTATGGTTGCCGTCCTCCTTACCCGTGGCCCCGCTACGGCCATTGCACTCCTTACTGCAGTTGCTTCACTTACTGGTGGTGTGTTCTTTACCGCCTTACGAAATTCGGTCATCGACTGTTCCAGCGGCTCAGCAACCCATAAGGCTTGCGTGGTTTCTGTAGTCGAAACGACTTTCACAGCTCTCATTACAGTTAGCGCCGCTGGTGGAGCACTTTTCATTGGACTTACATCTCCTACCCCTAGGGATCTCTCTGGATCTTCAGCTCTCTTCCGTCTGGATGGCCAAGACATTGACTGGCATGACGGTATGGGCAGCCACAGGTTTGGCCTGAATCGTACCCTTGCCGATCCCGCCGTCGTTGAGTACCAGCTCAACTCAACCTCACATGTGGCCAAGTACCTTTCATACCAAACTGAAGAGGGACACTTGGTCATGCGTCACGACACTGGCATAGATGTGGCTCACGGACTGCTGAAGCGTGGCACCTGCCGTGCTTACATCGACACCGTTATTTTCGGTGACGATTTGAGTGCTTCCCAACTTGCATCCGCCATCCCTGCTGCTCAGTACCAGGCGGGAGCTACTGCCCTCGTCGATCACATGACCAATTTCCAAAAAGACTATGGCTGCATTGAGCTCCAGGCCTTGAGTGGCGCTACAGCGACTGGAAACGCGGCACGGTTGGCGTTTGGAGCATCATGCTCCCAGAGCATTCCAAACGTTCCCAACTGCAGAACTGCAAACTACAACCTCGTACTGGCCAAAATGACCGAGTCGTAGAGACGCTACGCATTGAAAGATACCTTTTTGTTAAAGGAAATACTCTCCCTTTCTATGTAAGAAGCAACTTAGTGCCATGGCTACATGATCTAATATTCTCGATAGACTATCAGATTTGATTGGCATTTAATGAAATCATAATTGTAGTTGTATTTACGTTTTGTTTTTTCTGCATAATTCAAGCTCATAGCCTTAGAATATCTTATGCTATATTTATCACCTCTTAAGTCATGACAAGTGCCTAGAATAAGCGTAAACATTTCTCACCTAATTCGTCCTCGGTGGCATCTAGTCTTTCTTAAGGAGTATAAGCTGATTGTTAGGATCAGCTCCGGCCTACCTGGCCAGGACAACCAAAAAGCATCAGTGCTTACTTAGACAGCACGCACGTGGCCGGAATAGTACATATCGTTACCCTATCTCAGGCTAGAGGTTTCCTGTAGCCATACACCTGGCAGGTGTCAGGACTGAGCTCTAGCCCATCCGCGGGCGTTCTGTTTCATGGTTTCCGTACGATACTCGTCCAGTATCTTTGCAGCTTCTATAAGAACGACAATCTTTCAGTTCTTGATGAAGTGTCTCAAGCCATGTCTCTGTTTGAATTCATTGAGGGAACGCACAGCCCGCCCAATTTCCTCCTCCATCCACCGTGATTGTCGAAAGACGCTCTGGGAGATAGCCCAGTCATTTCGCTTTACATACTGTGTTACTCTCCGATCATACTTGCTTACTGAGTTGTGGGCAAATCGGCTTCTTACAACTTTGACAAACTGCAGCGTGACATTGCTACGCCCCCAGTGTTCTCCGGTGGCCTGACGAGTTTGACGCAATATCATCCAAGGGCGCCACACCATATCGCCTCTGTGATAATCGCCATCCGCACCCAGCTGCCTGCGCTTCTTGCTCGCAACAACATGGCCCCACTTGTCAGTTTCCTAAGATGTGTGGATGCGGCGGCCTTTGCACTGCCATGGGTCTGACCTATGCCTAGCTGCGATAGCATCGTAGTCGAGTCCTATATTACTGATCGGAAATTGCTCTCGCAATGTGTCCCTATGTATAGCAAGCTTGGTAGAGTGCCTGATATTGTCTGAGTACATATGCAGCTGTTCAGGTCCAATGGGCTTGGTCGATTTGCTGCGGTCGCCGATACTCCATTTGTTGAATAGCCGAATCATGTTCTCTCGCCAGTGTAGCGAATCGTCTTCATTTTGCTTTCGCGCAGTGACATTCATGAGAGGATTGAAGACATATTGCAGACTTCGCGGGTTCCGCTCATCTTCTGAACGCGGCCGGTTCCAGGCATTTTGGAAGTATAGAAAATCTAGGTCAGTCAACAGCAGTCAGGATCGATCATGTGGCAAAATTTACCTTCCCAGAGACTTTTTGCATACTCATATTCGTCGCTAGAAATAGCGGTAGAGTATTAGTGTTTTTTCGCCGCGTAGCAGTCGTCAGCTTCTTGCTAGCTTTCGTCATGGTCTCGTCTATCGTCACCTCCACCTATTTATTGTAGATGTCGCCAGTGGTTATATCGTAGTGCTATTCCTATTTCTTCTTCTACTCCTCATCGTAGGTCTCCCGTGCTTTGGTAATACGCTCACGAGCGTCGTTGTCTCCAGCCAAATGTTGGAAGTAGAGTAAGTTAGCCAAAATGAGCGCCTTTTCACCATCGAGCCAAGCCTCCATCTCTCCTTGCGTCTCTAGCTCAATACCTTTACAACTATTCTTCGCCACAGGATCTGTGACGTCCCATTCTTTTTGGGTGGCGGTAGCCTCGTTTGCTTCTGCTTCGTCGGCCTTCTTGCCATGGTGCTAGTCTCTGACAGAGGAATTGGTATGTATGCTTGAGTGCAGAGAGAGGTTTATGACCTGTACCGTACACCTTTTTGTGCATTGCTTCATCATTGAGTTCTGTCGTCTTTGTTGATCCGAGAAGAGGCGTCGGCTTGTGTGACCTGATCTACGAGTCCTTTCTTCCATTGTTATCGCTCCACCTATCAAGAAGTTGGAATTCCTAGGACAACGATATTCCAATCCGATCATTGTCGTGCCTTTGTCTTCAGACCGTGAAGAAGCTCTTCACTTCATGGTGCATTCATTCGGCGCAGAAGACAGAAGAAACTCCCAGTCGCTTGAAAAGACTGAGACTGTGAAGACAACAACCTTTGAAATGATCTTGGGCGTCTTGAAGCAGGAATATAGCTGATCACGTCATCGGGGAAGTACGCAACTCTGCCTGGCCGCTGTAGTGACTCGCCAAGGACTAACATCCTTCCTTCATAGATCCAGGTCCCCAACGTACCCCCGCCCGTCTCTTTCCTTGTGCTCTGACCCACGCTGCAGTGCCTCTCGTCTCTTAGTTAGATCCTCAATATCTCCTACGTGTCCCACGGCGGAACGTGAGACGGTTGTGACAAATCTCTAACTTCGCGTTCGACATTGTCAATCTCTGAGAATTCCGGCATGTCTCATTGGAATTCTTTGCAGCGGTAAATCCACTTCTCTTCTTCTGTCCTGAAGATCGGAGGGGAGCGCATGTTCGATAGCGTCGCTGGGTTGTCGAAGACGCCGTGCAGCAAGCTTTGCGAACCTAGTGGATCATCGCAGGAACGATCTCAGGCTAGCACTGTGGCGGTATCAATCTTTGTATGATCCCTGGATCGGAGGCTAACAATCTTGAAGCCGTGGGCTCTGTACCACGGTGCAATATTACTCGCATCCAAGCATCAAAACACCATCATCCGCGTTCCCAGTACTCCGTAAGGCAAACCACAATATATCCCTACGGGAGACAAGACCCCAACCTACAGCCCAAGTAACGCACCAGATAAAACTTTCTATGCGCATCAGAGTGAGACCTAGCCCATAGTCACGAGAAGTAAGCATTCAAACCGAACTATCCCGCACACGATACCAACGCACTAGTTCTCAGTCCATTTAGATTGTGCGACTTGTGACTCTTGACATCCACTACCGACCACTCCTCACAAGCTCTCCCAACCCCGCCGCCCAGACCAAACACCACGTCCTACTCGCCCCCCCATCGATCCACCCATCATCCCAGTGCCCACTGACGCCATCCCTGAAAAACGCAAAACTAGCCTTCGGATCCAGCAGCGCAAGATTCGCATGCAAAATGCCCCTCCAGCCACCATGGGCGCCGTCGGGTCCGTCTCTCAGCGCCCTGCCGTCGCTGAACATGGCGCCCCACTCTTCCTTGACGAAGGCGCGGGGACGCAGGTAAGAGGATGCAGGGTTAAGGGGGACCATGTGGATGCCGTGAATGAGTGCGGGGTTGTCGCCGAAGTAAGTCGTGTAATCGATTTTGTTTTCGAAGAGGATCCCAGTGACTTTGTTAGGTACGAAGCGTGGCGGTTGGACGGGGTTGTTGCTAAGGAGATAGAAGTAGTTGTTGAAAGAGCGCGCTTGGACTGCGAGCATGAGGTTACCTGCAGTGTGTCAGTGTTGCCACACGGTTCAGAGCTAGAACGGAGCGACGTGACGCACCTCGCTTCTCCATGTTCGCATCGCCAATGACCTTGCCCCACATCTTGACCGCGTAGCTTGCGAAGCCATCCTCACTCGTACTTTCTTGATCCTTCCCATCTGCTGACTCGAACAATCCTTTCGCCCAACTGTGACCGTGCCACCAATCGAAGCTGCGCTGGAAAGGATAGTCTCTACCGTTGTATTCGCTCTCGGCAAAGTCCTTGACGAGCATATTTGTCCAAGCTTTGTTGTGGCCTTGCGTCAGCCAATCTAGGTCCAAATACCCGATAACGGCTGATGTGTATACAAAATAGCCGAAGTGGAAGTGGTGGTCGTTGTAGTGCGTATTTCCAAAGTCTGCACCTGGGTCGTTGAAGCCAGCATTCGATACGACTCCCTTCCAGCTGTTATCGTAGTAGAGGGGGTATCGCTGTTGATTCGCGACGTACTTCGCCATCTCGTGCTTCAGCTTCGCTAGACCAGTCGACGCCACCTCGTCATTTCCCAGCACATCTTTGATGACCCAAACAATAGTCGCGAACTTGGCCAGTGTCTTGCCAGCGTAGTAGTAGGAGTCTGGAGGTATTGGCTCAGTCATGGCGCGGCGTAAGTCACGCTCTGCGGTTGAGCTGATGAAAGCGAGAGTGTCCGGCGGATAGCGTATCTTTGCGTTAGCACCCATCGTAGGGCTCCAGGGACCGAAAGACATAGTGACAGGAAGATGTGGTTCAATGAACGTCAGCTTCTCGGCCCAAACAGCCGTCGCCATACCCTTCGTTGAGGTCCGCAGGTGTAGCTCGGTGACGTGAGATCTGAGCTCAGCATCAAGAGACTGGATATGGTGTGGCAAAGCCCACATCAGCAACGGAGACGTTCCAATCTTCGTGTAGCTAAATGAGTATGTGGCTTTCGCCTCGTTAACGATGGCAGTGAGCTTGGCTTCACACACAAAAGCACCAACGGCTCTGTCGTAGATCGCTTCCCCTCTGATGCCCAGCGGATTCCTTGCCACCTGTATTGTGCCTTGAAAAGCTGGTGGACCCAATAGTGTGCTAGCATCGATCTGGACGAGCTGCCGAGCATCATACGTGGTACTCAAAAGAGGAACCACGTATATCAGCCAGTCACGACCGTCAAAATCCTTTACTCTGTATTTGGCCGTCCGTCCAAGCATGACTGGCTTTTCCACCTCTACCCAACCCCTTCCACCAGTCTGCACAGTCGGCATTGCGTTTCTGTATCCTGCAGTGACGAAGCCCATTCCTTGTACGACGGGGAACGTAATCTTTGGTTCTCTGGACCTTGATTGAACATTTAGGTTGATGTTGACTGAAAATGGGAGGTGCGTATCGGTGGTCAAGGTAGTTTGCGAGTCGAGCTCTGCCGCGGACAGAATGATGGACTGTTTGCGCGGATTATTGAAGACCTAAACATCACGGTCAGTTTAGTTTCCCTTCTTCAAGACTTGACACAGCGCACCTTCGGAGGCTCTCCTGGCCCGTATTGCAAATCTGCTTTCTCAACATGTCCGACATTGATGCCCCACGTCCCCAATGTGCCTGGGTCCAGCGATCCCTTACCCCACCATATCGAATACGGATGAGTCCATATGGGCTGGTTCTGGTCCCTCAGAAACGCGTTAGCGTAGAAACTGTTTGTGTGTAGCGTTCGCAGGTCGTTGTCTTCGATGCCCGTTCGCGGCACTGGGTGGTGATTGCTAATCGGGATCTGTGACAGGATATTATCGGCCTGGATTGGCGTGAAGATGTTGTCTGGTGGCACTTCATCGCCCAGCATTTCTACCGTTGTTCTGTAGCCGAAGGAGCTCAATATGCCGCGTCGATGTCCGCGCCATGTGCGTGGCACTTTGCTAGTGTCACCAGTGGCGTCGGAAACAATTGAGAGACTGGAATCTCGTCTCTTCGACTGCTTGTTGCCCATTAGTATGTATGCGGTCTTGCGGCAAGATTTTGATGATGCCAGGTGGTGAACGACGAGATAATGAGAGACGTATAGGGCTTTTTAGGGGGTTTGTTGATCATAGGTAAGGTAGAGATAGATGGGGGCGAAGCGGTGACGAGAGCGCCTGAAGGCGTCGAGTACGCGCATTGCGATGTTGATTTGAGGGTCTGGGAAGGTGCAGGTGAGATGCTTGTTCGAGCAAACGGATTGGAAGGAGCCAAACGCCGACTTGCAGAGATGACCATACCAGGTGCTGGAAGACTTTCAAATCTTCTAAAGACGAAGTCAAGGTCGCATGATAGCTGAGATTGACAAAGTTTGATAGCACGGGCGTGTATGATGTCTGTGACAATGTCCGTGTCTGGCCATCTCTGAACTTGGGCATTGCTGACATGCTGGAGCAAGGTGAGAGAGGCGTTGTATAGAACAGGCTCTTGTCGCCAGAAACACGAGGCATAGCACCAGAGCGAGACGGTAAAAGAAAGTGTGAACCATGGCAACTGACAAATCTTGTCAGGTGTCCTCTAACAGGCATCGCCAATCCTTACATACGAAGTCCATATCTGCCACCACATATCTTCTTACCATGGATGATTCGTCTCGAGTCTCGCTGAAGTCCGATCTAGACGTGCATAGACGCAGGTGCACTTCAGACATGCTTCTTATAGTAGTTAGGCCATAGTACCAGACGTTGTGTTTTCATATGAGGAAATATCGATTTAGCGCAACTCGAGACTTGACTAGTGTACCATCCTCCAAGATTCGCCAGAGGTCGCACCCGCAGTCCAGGTGTAGCGATAAATCCGGTCGTACATGATCACAAGATCCGAGGTCGACGATTCGAATGGCAGCGCAGCTTGCGAAACAACAACTTCCCATTCGAGCACCTTTCGCTCTAAACCTATGCCCATCAAGGTACGTTTGTCCAACACCCAAAGAAACGCCACACAATGCATCCTTTTCTTCTCCGTGTGGCCCTCTCTTCATTGGCTGACCGTAGTCGCCTATACCAAAGGCTTCCGCATAGGCGCAATAACACCCCCCTTAACCAGCACCCTCGGCAGCACCGCATCCTGATGAGTCTTCTTCGTAGTCCATTCCCTGCCCTTCGGCAGGCGCAGACTTCTCTCATACTGCTCCCTGCTCTCAAACGGAAACGGCAGCTGGCCAGCCAGATACTTCTTGTTCGGCTTAACCGTCTTCTCATTGATGATCACCCTCTCCAACTTCCTGTCTTTGCGCTTGTTGGCGTCGATGCCGGCGGCTTGCGTTGTGGTCTTCCAGCCGCGGTTCTGGCGGCGTTCGCGTTTGGACATGCCGTCGCCGGCCCACGCGCCCCAGCCGGGGAGAAAATCTGTTGTTTCTTTTGAGGCTTCGTCTTTGGTGATGTCTTCTTTTTCGAGCTTGAAGTCGGCTTCTACGTTGTCACCCGCGAACCCCTTGGCGGTGAGTAGGTGGTTACGGGATAGCTGGGCGAGATCGAGGTCGTCGGCTTCGTCGGAGAGGTGCTCATCGTCGGAGTCCTGGCCGCCGAGAACGGTGGCCCAGCCGTCGTCGTCAGCCGTGGTGACTCGTTGCTGGAGGAAGTCATCGACTGTCTCCTTGGGCGCAGAGGACTTGGATGCTGACGGTGCGGGTGCGGATTCGTCGTCTGAGGCGAAGTCGGTGAAGGGAAGGAGGTCGTTGTCAGCAGACGTGTCCTTGCTCTTCTTTGCTTTGGCGGCCTTCGCGAGGAAGGGATTTGGTGCATCGGCCTCATGCTCAGCGGCGGAGTTCGCGTTCCCACTCTCATTTGTCTTGCGTGTGCCGTTCGAAAGACCTGTTGAGAAGGGGTTCTTCGGCTTCTCATTCTTGCGCGTGCCGTTCGACAGCCCGTTAGTGACAGCATCTTCGCCCTCCTCGTCAGAGCTAGTGTGCTCTTCGAACTCGCTGGCTTTGACGGGGATAGCTGTTAGGGCGACCTTGCCTGGTCCGTACTGGCGGCGACCAACGCGTGTAGCGTTCTCGCCAACTTCGTCTTGACTGTCCTCCCCAGCTAGGTCGCGGCGCATGGATTTGATCGCCTCGTTGTTCTCTGCGCGCTTCGCGGCTTCAGCCTTCTGCATGAATGCCATCTGGCCCAGCTTCGACCCCTTGTGCGAGAACGGATTCTCCAGCTGTCCAAGCTGACGCTGCAGAAGGTCCTCTTCATCCGCGTCTGAATCGTCTTCACTGTCATTCTCTTCGCTGGGCACGTCAGAGCCCTCGTCGTCGGAGTCGAGAACCAGCTTGCCCTCGATGCGTCGTCGCAACTCCTCATTGCGTCGCGCCATCTCACTGACACCCGCAAGCGCATCCTGGTCCCAGGCCGCACGACCAGTTGCCTTAATGCCCTTGGCCCACTTGCCCTCGCGATGCTTAGCACCCATGCGCTCCTCTGCCCGGCGGCGGTCGTTGTGCTCGCGCTCCTCTTCCGAGAGATCGACGCCATCGGCCTTGAGCTGCTCACGCTCCTTTTCAAGTAGCCTTTCGCGCTCCTTGCGGTGCACGCGGCGGTAGGCCTTACTCTTTATTTTCTTGATTCGCTTGGCGCGGACTTCTTCACGGAAGAGCAGCTCACGCTCCATCCGCAGTTGTGCCCGGCGTCTTTCGACTTCTTCAATGGGGAGCTTATTAGTCTGCAGGATCTCCCACTTCTGGATCTGCTCTTCATCGTCCTTGCCGTTAGACAACCCGCTCTGCTGGAGAATAGACTGGATGGTGCTTTCCAGGTCGTTTGCGGGCACAGCTGTGGTGGTGGGCAGCAGACGGTCTTCACCCATAGCCTTACCAGAATCTTTGTGCTGCAGCGGGAAGGACAGGTGCTCGGCGCGGCGATTCTGCTTGATGGTGTCGGTCCAGCGGTCGAGGGTCTCATTGGCTTTGGCGTTGGCTGCTGCGCGGTCGAGCTTATCTTGTTGTCGCTTTGGTAGGGGTGCTTCTAGCTTTCGCGCAATGTCATTCCGCTTTGAGTTCTTGTCGTCGCTGAGCAGCTTGAGCGCTTTCTTCTTCTCCGCATCGCCAGCCTTAGGCTTCATGCTCAGGAGATCGACTTTCCTCGAGACGCCGAACTCGTCGGGCGCAGCAGACTCGTGCACCTCGACCCTCTTGCCTCGCGACTTGTCCTCCCCCCCTGTGGCAAGCGATGAGATCAGATCTTTGAGCTGTGCCTGACGGTCTTCCTCATCCTCATCATCGTCGCTGGACAAATCACTTGCCCCGTCGCTCGCCACATCCTCGCCCTCACTCGGCTCCTCACTCTCACTACCATAGCCGCCCTTCTGCTTCTTCTCCCTCTTTTTCTCCTCTCTCTCCTCTCTCTCGTCCTCCTCATACTGATCCAGCGCAGTCGCAAGATCAATCCCCTCGTCCCCAAACTCATCATCACCCTCGGCTTCTTCGTCAGACTCATCCATATCCACGTCACGCCCCTCATCAACAACCTTTCCCTTCTTGACTTTCAGCTTCTTGCCCTGCGTGCTACTCCCGCGGAAACTAAACCCCTCAAACCGCTCCTCGTCGCTCTCCCCAAACGCCTCGTCAGAGTCAATGTCCTCATCATCATCCTCATCCACGTGTCCCATGGTCCACGTGTTCCCCTCACTATCACTCCCCTCATCATAGCTCTCATCCGCATCCCGTCTTTTCGCCTTCTTGCGCAGCGCCCCGCCATCGCCGTCCTCGTCCTCGTCGTCAGACCCGAGCTCGTCGTCGCGCGCGCGCTTCTTGTGGAACGAGGGGTCGAGTTCGCCGAGGCGGTTCTTACGGATCTTGGTCTGCTCGGGGTTGTCGAACTGCGCGATTGCGAAAGCGTTTAGTGCGCGCTTCGAGGCTTTTGCGCTGTTGCGCGTACCGGCTGCGCGGCCCTTGGACTTCGTGCTGGCACCGCTGGGGAGCGAGCTACGCGCTATACGGGGCGGCATATTTTGTGGAGTGTGCGTGGGAGGAGTTTGCGGGACGGAGGACTTCAGATGTGGGACGGTCGAGGGCAAACTTTTGGCTTGGCGGCAACTTTTTTGACTGGGACGTGCGCTCGGAGGTCCGCTGTGGAGGCAATGCCAGGCGTGACACCATCGAATCGCTTCCGAAGGGCCCGTCTCGCCTCATAACACCTCGGTCGCGACCTCTTCAGCCTCTAATACGATCGTAGTCGCCGAGCGTGTCTACTCGCGATGTTCAAGCCCACACCCGCTCTCCAGGGTACCCTCCGGCGGCTGCCACTCAGCACCAAGCAAGCGGGCAGAGAATACTACAAGGGAAACCGCGTGGGGTCCATGGGCACAATCAACCGCTACGGCAAATTCACGCCGGACTGGAACAAGATACGGACTTATGTGTTCCCCGTGCACGGGGTGAAGAACGCCGAGGTACGTCTCCCTCGACCACTTGCAGCCCCATGTACTCGCGCTCGCCCTGCCCTTGCGGAATCGATCGCCTGTACTTTGAGATTTTTGTTAACTTCAGCTTCTCTAGTTGACGCCCTTCGTTGCCGAAACCGTGCAGAAGACGCGTACCACCGACTCCAACCAGTCCGAGGTGTATCCGAAGCGCTTCACCGGCGAGGACTACCTACGCGCGTGGAAGATGGCGGGCGGACATGATATCGTATACGAGGAGGCGAGTGCGACACGGCCGAATATGCCGGCGCCGTTTGAGGAGAGAAAAGCTTCGTAGTGACATGTTAATGAAGGATCGTTGCAGAATTCAGACGTGTCATGGAGGGGACAGGATGAATTGAGGTGTGCACATGCATAGAGAATGAGGAGTGGGAGCGCCGTTGTGGCTTTGAGGGTCAGAGCAATTGGATGCTGCGTAGCGTTCGAGGCGGCTGTGAAGAGCAGCTGACACGATTGAGAAGAGCCAGCCCAGGCTCCGTGTACCATGTATACATACTGTACATTCCAGGGTATCATGTAGTATTCCACCTTCACTACACTCCGCACACCATACTGCACATCCTCTCTACTTCAGCCTTTTTACCGCGAAGAAGTAATTCCCCCAATCCTCCCCACCTCTGACCTCCTTCCAGCCAAGTCCCGGCACATACATAACGCCAAGGCTCCTCACGCTCGCGCTATCCCAACCAGGCTCCTTCGCAAAATACCCCCGCAGCTCATCCTCATTGACATACTTGCTCCACTCATGCGTCCCCTTGGGCACGATCCCCAACACATCCTCGGCCATGACATTAGTAACAAGCCAACTCGTCCACGTCCGCGCGATCGTGCTCATGACCAGCCAGCCGCCGGGCTTGACATGAGAGAGCAACTTCTCGATGAACGGCCCGGGCGCGTTGACGTGCTCGAGCACTTCGAACAATGTCACCATGTCGTAGCCTTCCTCGGGCGTCTTTGGCACGGGGAGATCCTCGATGCTCGTGTTCAGGTATGTGAGGCGCCCCGGCTCCATGAGCAATGGGTCGCGGCGCTTGTGCACCTCTGCGATCTTCAGCACGCCCGGCGTGGGGTCGATAGCTGTCACGCTGTCTGTGTCGGGCAGACGTGCGGCAGACTCGGCGAAGATGCCGCCGCCGCACCCAATATCGAGGTATCTGAGCTTATGTGAGGGCACGAGGGTGTCGTTGAACCGGCAGGAGGCGATGAAGTCGTGCCGTAGCGGGTTCATGAGGTGTAGCAGGCGTGAGGAGCCATGCGGGTCCCACCACGAGGATGCAAGGGCGTCGAAGTGGGAGACTTCGGTTGGGTCGACGGTTGAGGGATTGTGTGGGCGGGGCAAGGTGGTTGTGAAGGGGCGGGTTGCCGTGGCGGGTATTCGTAATGTTTGAGGAATTGTTGATCGTTGGGATTGTATGGTTTGGCGCATACAGCGCTGTATCGAGCGCATTGCGCATGCCACAGTGTGTGGCCGCATCGTTGGGCTGGAATCGTTGTTTGGTGTCTGATCGCAGTGGTAATGCAGTCGACAAGTTGATGTCACTCCAGAAAATCAACGGTGGGTCCGCAGATCTCACAGCGAATGAGAATCAGCGGCCCCCTTCACGATGACCAGAATAGTCAAGCGATGTAATTAATTCCGGTGTCTGTCTTACGCCTTGATGGTCCATGCGGGGCTGTCTATGCATCGGGTGCTTCGTTGCATCGGGCCAGGCGTCGAGCGCACGCCAGCAAATTATACAAAGTATACCCACAGTAATTCGACAGCAGTAGTACGAAACCCTAGACGCCGCCTTTGCATCTGCACCAGTCTGCTGTGCAGTCTTGCGTTGGGTACAGGCCCGCGCGTGGTCCTGCTCCCGGGTATCGGCAATGGATACCACGCAAGGTTGATGCCGCGACTTCCAGCATCCATACTGTGTGGGGCGGCCCCCGAACTCGCAGTGTTTAAAAGGACAGCCACTCCCGCTGCCACAATGTGGCACAGTCACTTTGCATTCATCCTAGATTTCTGCAGCAATTCCATGTTCTCTCCGGTATATTATGTTGCTATCGTCGACTTATCATACACCTAGATCTTCGCTCATCACCACCCTTTCGTGCGATATAGTTCCGCCTTTTCTCGACGCCCGCAGTGTGCCAGTGCTTGTAGGTTGTTCTCGTTTCTCGGCCGAGATGCTCAAGGAAGTAGGCCGCCAGTACAAAGGAAAAGCAGGAAAGAATACAAAAGGAAACAAGGTTCTTTATTTTGCCGAGGACTGGAATTTAAGCGCATGTACAAAAAGGAACCCGATCGCACCGCACTGCGTGCGCTCGTATTCCGGATTCAGCGTTTCCATCTCGAAGGGCTGAAGCTTGGGGATAGAGAGTTGTGGCTTGACTGCCAGCTCTTAGTTGGTGGCGAAGAATCTCTGGACGACACCATTGCCGGTCGGGTCACCTTGGACGTTGTCAGGGTAGATGTAGAACGCAAGCGCAATGATGGCGTAGCTGTCAGAAGTTAGTGTAAGTCGGCAATTCAGGGCATCGAGTACTCACGTTCCTAGGCACATAGCGCCCTCGAGGTAGTTGCTCTTTCCATCCTGAATGAGGTAGTTGACGATCAGCACGGAGATGAAGAAGATGATGGTCTCGAATCCCTGGAAGTGCAGGGTCATGGGCTGGCCCATAATCCAGCCAAGGATCACAAGGAAGGGGGTAACAAAAAGCGCGATCTGCATAGAGCTGCCAATGGCGACATTGATGGCCAGATCCATCTTGCCCTTGTATGCAACGATCACAGCAGTGACGTGCTCGGCAGCGTTTCCAACAATTGGTATCAGGATCAGACCGACGAACGTCTTGCTAATGTGCGCAGACTCGACAATCGAATCGATACTATCGACGAGATATTCGGCGCAGACGGCGACAAGGACGGTGACGAGGACGAGCGCGACACCGGCGGCGACAGGAGACAAAATCTGGCCGTCCTCGTTTTCCTCATCTCCACCCTCCTGGTTCTCGACGTCGGCGAACAGCGCGTGGTGGGAATAAAGCTGGAAGTAGAGGTACAGAATGTACAGAATGAGGAGGATGATCGAAGTGCCGTGAGATAAGAGCAGGACGTTCTTCTCAGCCTCGTGGGTGCCGCCGTTCTGCTTGTCACCGGAGATGGTAGCGTAGAGAGTAGCAGGAATGATTAGCGAGGCAGATGCGACGGCCATGAGCGAGGACATGGTCGACGCAACAGTCTCGTTGAAGCTGCGCTCTTGTTCGCGAATACCGCCAGCAAGGAAACAACAACCGAGCACAAGCAGGATGTTGGAGAGAATGCTACCCAGCATGCTAGCCTGGACGATGCGAATCTCGCCCTGCTTGAGCGCAACGATACTAACGATCAGCTCGACAGCGTTGCCGAAGGTCGCGTTCATGAGGCCACCGAGCGTCTGTCCAAGCTTCGCAGAGAGCTCCTCTGTCGCAAAGGAGAGTAGCGCAGCAAGCGGGATGATGGCGATGAAGTTGAGGATGAAAACGGCGGTGGGATTCCAGTTCATGGCGCCGGCGATGATGCCAATGGGCACGAAGACGAGAAAGACGTTGACATAGTTGCTGACCAGTGTCTTGTACACCAGGTGCAGGACGTGCTTGGGCAACCTGATGATGGCAGACTCATTAGGGCGGGTGGTGCCAATCAGTGGTGTGTGCTCCGTCGAGCCATTCTGAGGTTGCGGCATGCCGGACTGGGGTTCACTGAAAGAACGAGTGCTGCCGTGGCGACCGAGGCGGTGGAAGTCGCGCTTTATGTTTTCTGCCAAGTCCGATTAGCCAAGACCTCGCCGAGTACCTTCGTACTATCGGAGTTTCGATGCGAGAAGACGGTTGGAAGGGAGCGTGGTGCTGCGCCTGGAGTCGAGAAGTGAAAGGTTACAGGGCGACGGGCGATGGTGTTCTAAGGTGCAGTGTTCCAAAACGAGGGGTGACGAAGCCAACGCACCGGATGCGGACAGCTATGTTCGGGGTGCTTGCGATTGCGGACTCACTCATTGCTTTGCGATGGACGCAGATATCAAAGATCCCACGAGCACGGGAGCAGCTAGTAGGTATATGAGCGTGTCAGAGGCGCGCTGCTAAGAGTTTGGGCGCGGTAGTAGAAAGGTGGGAATGCAACTGGCTAGAAAGGCCGACAAGGGAATTGGATGCAGATCTGGTCAATCAGGCCGCAGGTAGGTATGGTAGAAAAGACGTTAAAAGTGCGATAGCGTGAGGGGAAAGAGGGCGCAGCAACTTTGTGACAGCTCTCGCTCCTAGGGTGCTGATGACGAAGATGTGAGATGGCTGGGAGCGAGCTTCCGCAAGCTTGCGGAGCTGCAACGCCAATCAGCACTGCCCCAGCCAAGCTTGACCCAGCGGTCCATCGCGCGGGAGATGCAGCTCCACCTGCCCCTGGCGCCGTTGCAGAACAGCGGGTGATGGCCTGAAAACGACTCCTCACCACGCGAAGCATTGCGCGACTTGGCTGCAACGCGCAAGCATTTGCGCTCCTTGCTGCGCTGCTTGTCCAGACCTCAGCAACGCTACGCACTGTGCCGGGCGATTTGTACGAGCCACCTGTGCAACGTCATGGTGCCAAGCATTTGCTGGCCTCGAAGCAGGCTCAACCTTGTTGATCATACACAGCACGGCCCCGCCAGCAGCCGCTCGCGAACACCACTATTAACTACCGTCAGACAGTCGCATCGTGGAGGGCAAATGCCTCATCCGGCAGGCACCGATGCCAAGCTCCTCCTTTTCGAGTACGGCGATCATCTCAAGAACACTGCCTCCTTGTGCCACCCATCACCAGCATTGGCCCGGAGAAATCCCATCTCGCAGCATACCACATGGTCCTTCAAGGGACTGCTCAACGCTCGTTGTGAGCAAGCCCGGCGAAAAAATGCCCGAGACCTGGTCTGCAGCCGCACAAGATGTGGCCAACGGTGGTACACAATGCATTGCCTCTCGATAAGTGCAAGATCACATACTGCTCGGCGCGAGTACACTGCGTAGTTGTTGTAAGTCGTCATCAGAATCACGCGTCCTGGTCAAACGCAGAGACGCTTAGTGACCCACACAATGCCTTTTGTCATACCCTTCTTCTTTGAAGGCAACCTAGCGTGCGAGTTTCGCGACTCGGATGGCGCTGCAAGGTCCCCAGTCTTGTCGCCCATCATTCAGACAATCAGCTGTTCCTCCTTCCGAATCAACGGTCTAGGACCCTCATTATCCAATGGATACAGCGATGTGGTCCACGTCGAAGGAGTACGAGGTTGATCACAAGCAATAGAAGAAACTTACCACGCAGCAGCTTGGCCCAGCTCTATTGCCTGTTCACCTCAGCAGAAACCGGGCAAGAGATGTTTTCGAAGACAGATCAGCGATCGCGAGACGGCACTCAGACTACAGCGTCCTGCGCTAAGTTCACAGGCAACTCTCGCAAGGTGGTCAACAAAGGTACCCGCGATCCGTGCCTGGCAATTTGGAGTGGGAAGAAGGAGCCCACTGGCAATATTGACATACTTTCGAAGCAACACAGCTCCTTGCTTCACCCGAACAGACGACCCTTTCGACAAGCTTTGGAGCTGTACTGTCCGCTCTGCGTGAGGTTGTTGGCAGTTATAGGCAGCCGTTCATAGTCACGCCTGTTCAACGCCAACCTCGTCAGGCGTAATGCGCGCTTCATTCACTTCAGGGGCTTCCACGGCACGAAGGGTGAGGAGCAGGGCAGGTAGCGTTCACACTAATGAGGTAAAATCGTGAGCTATACTGCAGTTTATTGCTACATCGTTGGCTGACGAGACCTCATTGACGGACCGCACTTCCTATGAACCTCTGATCACTGCAAAGCACGGCCGTTGATTGTAGGCTAACAACCAGCCCTAAAGGATCCAGTGGTCAACGTTGACGCAGAAGACCCTCTTCGTCATAATCTCGACAATGCCAGACTTCACGTTCTCATCATCATCACCATCATCATCATCATCATCATCATCATCATCATCATCATCATTTTTCGCTGTCTCAATGACGATGAAGTTGTGTTCTGGGTGGAAGATCGCATCGTAGAGCCTTCCAAGTCACAGTCTGGTGCCTATGCGCGGATCGTAAGAGTCTGGAGCGGCATCGGCATCGATGTACATTGCATGGAGGCACTCGGGCTAGGCGCTCGTCAGGCGTGGGAGCGACACGAGTAAGCTGACTACCGATCCATAACGATCACATGCGATCGAAGCAGACAACAGCCCGAACTAGAGACTGCAAAGCGGTAACGTTTCTCTCTGGTCATCTGTGGAGTCATAATACAGCTGGAATCACCAGATTAAAGACGCCAATCATCAGTCTAGACTGCTCCCTCGGAACGGCACACGGAGCTCCTCGATGCTGAGCGCATTGCAGTAGTCTATCTCAATTGAACACAATCTATCAAGTTAATTTGAGCCATCGAGCAGGGATATGGCGTTCCTTGCTCACATGTCACAACTCCCACCACTTCAAGACTTCGGTCAACGTTTGCATGTCCAGAGATAGGGCACGAAAACGCCGTAAAGTTATCGAACAGGCCTTTATCGCTGCACCATGACGATTGAACGGCAGAGCAATTATTCTGAGCCTCACGAGGCTTACTTTGAGCCTGGCAATTGGTGTTAAACTATTTTAGGCGTCCAGGCAGGGGTAAGGTGTAGATGAATTCATCGAAAACCCGGCAATAGCGGCATGATACCGGTTGCCGATTGGTGGATTGCTCGTTGTGTAAGGCGAGCTTAGCTTGGGTATCTTGGCAACACAAGCAGGTACTTCGTATATCACTAGGTGACAGCTCTCCTGGAAGAAGCTTTGCTCCAAGGAACTGTAATAATGAGACAGCGGACAGCACCATATGCCGACGAGGCCCCTCCGAACTATTCGGCGCAGGATGAACAGCCAAAAACGCCGAAGAGGAGGTGGTGGTGGAGGAAACGGGTGTGGATACCATCTGGAATCCTGATTGTCTTGCTCTTGTTCGGCATCATATTTGGTGCAGCATATGGCGTCACGAGGTCGAAGGGAAAGTAAGTACGCACCTATTGTCCTGAAGTCAACATGCTAATATACTACGAAGTGACGCGCAGACCGATCGCGAACGATTGTTTGCGGCAAATGGGTCCTGGAACATATCAAGTTCATCCATACCATCATCTCCTACCGTTTCCTCAAGTTCATCCATACCACCACCTCCTACCGTTTCCTCAAGTTCCGCAGGTCATTGGAACAACGACTACATCTCCACGTACTCATCATCCAGGTCCGCGGGCCATTGGAATAACGATTACCTGTCTACCTACTCATCCTCAAGTTACTATCCCTACCCGACTCCCTCGCCCCCACAGTCTGATGGCATCCTTCAACCCCAAGGACATGTGCCACGAGATATCAGCGCTGCCGTAGGAGCTCCTGGACTGCTCGTTTGGAACCTGGAATCCGACAAAAAGCTGTACAGAGCAGGGCAAGGAGAAAGCTGGGAAGCTTATCCCGACCGCCTGTTCCTCTTCGCACCTGTGACCGTCAGCATCAGTGATGCAACACAAATAGCAGTCACGGTCGACGCCACTAGCGGACGCATTGTGTACATGCATTTCTACGACGGCCAATGGGATAGTTGGCAAGAGCTGGAATTCGACGCGCAGTTCCTGAGGCGGCCAGTTGTAATCTCACGATCGCAAGGCAGAGCAGACATCATCAACGTCGATAGAGACGGACATGTCTGGATCGTGTCCTACGACGGTACTCAGTGGAGCGAGTGGACGGAACTCGGCGACAAAGTCTACAGCGAAGTTGCAGCAACAACGTGGGGCGAAGACAGAATTGATATCTTCGCCAAATGGGGCGAAGATGTGATACACAAGTACTGGTCGTCTCAGTCCGGCTGGGCGGGAGAATGGACCAATCTCGGTGACCCCTGGGAGAGATACTACCACGAACCAGGCGAGACCTCTGGCTCGCCACTGGCTGTCTCGTGGCGCAATGGCGAAGACGGTACTATTGACGTGTTTATGACCATGAAAGGCAATGCGCACAAGGAATTCCGCAACGGCGCTTGGGGCGACTGGAAGGGTATGTCGGCCAGCCACGAAGGCTACGAATTCCCCGACACGCAGAGCATCGCCAGAGGAGATGGGCAGGACGGTCGTCCGTTCGCGTATCTTCTGTCGAGGGGTACTGATGACTGCATTCATTACATGGCACACAACGGCACAGACTGGGGTCAGTGGACCTACATGTGGTGTTCGCGAGAAGATCGCACAGATTACCTGAGCATCTACATGCCTACATTTATTGCTGGAGGCGGGAGTGGGAGCGTGGAACTAGTGGCGAAGGATATCATGGGCAATGCGATGCGGTTGGAGGTATCTGGTGCACCTCCCGAATGGGTGTACCAGATTGGGAACGATAAGTGGGAGAATTGGGGCATGCCGCCGGGATAATTCGTCGATGGAGGTTGACAGTCTACGTTACAATCGTTCTGAGCTGGTGTGGCCGTCACAGTATCGACCTGTTCGGACTACATTCTTTATACCCCCACAGCGTCTCATTGTTCTTGCTTCATCTCCACCTTGCCAATCCCTTCATCCCACAATGCCATCTTTCTCCTCAGCCTTCGAAAGCATTTGCTTCTCTAAGAACCACTCTGGATACTCCTATTCAGGGTTTTGGCCAAACTGCCGCTCCATCATCCTGTCGAGATCCGCCACATGAGCCTCGTTGTGAGTATTCAAGTATTTTCTCATCTCGTTGATCTTGTCGGCGCGCTCTGCTTCGGAAAGTTGATCGTACTCCGCGTCGAGCTCAGCCTGGGGGCGGTCAGTATTGTTACATGTGGGCGATCAGAAGGCAACAAACCTGCATGTTAGTATTTTCCTCGAAAGACCTCATAACATCTTGGAGGTGCGACTTGCGCTCTTGTTCATTTATGACATCAATCTGCCATTGATACGCTTTGTTGAGGAGTTTTTGAGCGACCTAGACGTTTTACGCCATAGTTTAGACTACTTTGAGGGCTCGTGTGGCTCAAATGGGGTCTTGGGGTAGAAGGCAAAGCGATCGACGGTGGGAACAGGGGGACGGTTCTTGTTTTATAATCTGCAAGCTACTTTCACCTCACCCAGTCAGACACTTGACCCAAGGACCTTCAGGCACACTTAACGAAAGGCTCTGCATGCTTTTTCATGATACGGTCATGCCCCATCTTTTGCAGCCAGGCCTCGGGAAAGTGCCGAGTAGAGTCTTCTTTGTAAAATCCTCGCATGTAGTCAGCATCCGCCAGTATGTTCGCGCATACGGCCATGCAGCAAGTCCCAGAACCTATCTAGTCCCTCCGCTAGACTTTTCTTGGACTTGTATCTGCTTGACAACACATACAGCGAACGAAACAGGCTGCACGAACAGAGAGGACCCACATGTAGAGATAATAATGCTTTTATCGAATCATTAGAGTCTTCAAAACCACTCAAGATACTTCTCAAGCATCTGTCGCAGTTGTTCTTTGACCATGCGCACATCCTCTTCAATCATATCTTAAAAAGCCGTGAGCTCTGGACCAGGTTGCTCGGTTGAGACGTTTTCAGTGATAATATCAACCGCAGCCTAGGGGGTTTAGCCAGACATCTTCCTCTCCGAATTCATTCAACAAACTTGTCTGCAGGCTCTGCTCTGCTTGTAGGCATCGAGGAAGCTGATCAGTACTTGCTTTCCGTCAATCTCTGCCCGCATTTCGGCAACAAGCTCCTGCTTTTCGTTGTTCATCACCTGATTTCGAGCGGTGTCTATGTGTATGGTGATAATCTGGGCCTTCAGCGCGTCTGCTCCCCGGTGCTTCGCGTAGAGCTCAGCGAGCTGGGAAAGCGCGACGGGGAAGTCGGGAATGTTGTTTGTGCAGTCCATATTTCTGTTGCGCTGAATAGCTGACTCTTGGAGTGGGGACAGGTGGGAGGAGAGAGCTTTACGTGTGCCGATTGGAACGAGTGAGCATGCTTAGGTTTCTTTCATTTTGATGGCCGCTTTGCTTGCCTCGCAATACTCGGCACTTCGGACAGAGCATGCAAACTTTCAGCCACAACAAACGAATAGGCAAACTGTAAGACAGAATACAGTTATGAGATTAGAATGCTGTCCTTCGGGCTTACGCCGCTTAAACAGCGAGTTGTGAACAGTCAAGCTCCGCTTTCACTATAGCTGTGCAGCAAGTGCGGTGACCTGATCCAACAACGCCTGGCTCTCGCCCGCCGCGTTTTTCGTGACCTTATCCCTCAGATGATCAACCTGCTGCCCTGCTGCAGCCGATGGGTTTCCTTGTGCAGTCTGGATCCTCGAGACCTGCATCTGCAAAAAGAACTTCGGAACCTTGATCGCCAAACTGCCGCCTACACTCCTAATCCCTGCTTCAGTAGCGAGATAGACGTTTAGATTATCCTGGAAGGTCTTAAGGTCCGCGTCTGCAAGAGGATCTGTGGTTGCGAACTGCTGTAGTGCGAACTCCAGAGGCGTCTGCGACGACTTAGAGAAGTCGATCTTGGAGAATGTCGCACTGCCTGATGAGACATCTGGTACGTTGGAGATGGTTGTTGCCGAGTTGTCGCAAGTAACGGCGCTCTGGATGGCAGTTACAGTGTCTGAGACTTCGGCAGGAAGAGCTGTGTTGCCGACCACGAAGCAGGCCTTGGCTTGCCGGGTTATGAGGTCAATAGTAGGTAAAGCTGTGGCGGTAGACAGAATGCTCAAAAGTGTCAGCGCTGAAGAGTTGATGGCGCGCATTCTGACGTGAGATATACAATTAAGTTATGACAAATTATTTGCGAGAACTGAAGGCCTGCCAGAGGTCTTAGCTGCAAAAATGACAGACTGTGGGTTGCAGAGACGTGTAGCTAATGATGGGCATATCTCGGTGGTGATGCGCTCTGATTTTGTAGCTGCCTGAGCATTGTGCGAGTAGTCCTGAGGGTCTAAATTCGGGTGCCGCCCTGTGTGAGGTTGCAGATCAAGCACATTTGTTGTAGTTCCTGTATCAGAACGGTAGTTGTGACAGTTTTGACATGGGCTGGCCGTCCGCTTTAGGCAATGCCGTGTCTCAGGTGAAGTTTGGAGTCTGCAAGGCATGAACCACCAACTTCATTCGATTCCTGAGATACTCACAGCTTCCAAGAAATGAACAGTAAGGATTGACGATAACGTCCCACAAATGTTATGGATAGGTAGTGCCGTTGCCCGGGTGGCGCAAAATATGGTTGCAGTACCCGCATTGGAGCGTTTTGGCTTTTGGCCCGGTTGTCTATTGTTGTCGTTACTCATGTATGCTTTGTTCTCTGTTCCTATTGCATCGGTCACTCGACTTCACACTCGCGCCGTGTTCGTCTAGGCATGCTCTCTACCGTGCCGTTTCCTCCAGCTTCTGACACCCTCATCGATGACATCTCTAGACACGCCTCTTGGTACAAGCTTCATCGTGACGCCCAATACTTCCACGTTCTTATTTCTGCTCTCGTCATCGAAGAACAGCATCTCCTCGTAGTCTATTCCACTATCTCGGTGTATGCGCTCGAAGTGGGCGGTTTTGCTACCAGGGTAGATCTGCAAATGATCGAAGTAGTCGATTGCGCGGGTGGACGAGCCAGATGAGCTGGGTACTTTGAGAAGCTCGAGCATCTCGCGACCAAGTTCAGGTGCGTGTGTGCGTGAGGCGGCGCCAACCAAGATGTTCTTCGCTTTGAGCTAGGCAATTGTCAGACCTCAGTAAACAATCCAGATAGTTCCCTGCATGCACTTACGGCTACAAGTATTTCACCAATATCGTTGTAGAAGCCATAGACCTCTCCGTAGCGGTCCTTGACCTTCAATCCACCTTCTGTAGCCTTTATAGGCCCTGTGACATGCGTGTCTACCCAAAAGGGCCATAACGTGTAGTCGAGGTCAAACACGACAATTTTCGGTAGCGCTAAGCCATCACTGAACGTTGATGGCCATTGCACCTTCTCTAGAAGTGTGTCTGTGGTTGCGGTGTCGTATGAACGCGTGGATGTGCTGCTGCGGCGGGGCATTGTGGAATTCGGCCGGTGCACAAGGCTTAGCGTGAGTAAACATGCAAGGGCACAAGTGGTGGATACTACAGCGAGAAAATGCAAGTTGGCCAGTTTGCTTGTGGAGGGTCGGGTGTCTGTAGAAAAAGTGTCGTGAGTGGCGCGCAGCCACAATGACATCACGCGCCTGAATCATTGCGCTTCAGCAACTAGAGATAACTAAGGATGCATTTGGGTTAGACGTCTATGGTTATCAGTACCCGAGCATCCTTGTACTGTAGTGAAAAAGAGATCAATCAGCTTTGACCAATCGCGTTACTGGTACATGTCAATATGGATCTTCAAGCATCAAAATAGAGATGAGCCGACTTCCCGACTAGTTTACTGATGGCATGCCCCATATTAGAAGATCCCAATCAACTTTCTGAGAACTCCTGCAGCACACAACGTTCAAAAGGCTACATATATCGACCCACGTACTATGAGTGGCCGCAGGAAACCAAATCCTTAGTTTTCATTTTTGCTCAGACCACACTTTGGCCTTGGAAGGGCCCCAGTATATGCCGGATAAGACTGGTGTCTCTGATGCTCATCACCTCCGGTGCATATATGATTCTCAAACAGACGTGGTTCTCGGAAGTGCCATGCCACGATAGAGCAAGATATCAAAACAGTATGAAACGAGGTGTACGACACAGCGCTTCAAATTGGATGAAGAGACTCAGAATGCATATTGGAAGCTTAGTGCCAAAAGATGAAGCTCCCGAGCGTTGGATTGTACCTGACTCCTACGAAGACCATGAAGGGAGTGGCGGACGCCAAGGTGCAACAGCGACGAGGCAATCGATTACGCAAGCACTGGAAGGTCAACTAGAATCAGTCTTGGCTTCTCCGTTCCTGAAGTTCGAGGCGGCTCCAGATCGTAGTGAAGCCTTTGTCACATTGCAACGTACCGGGGTGTTCAAGATGCCAGAATTTGAGCGCGAATTCGTCCTTTAGAGATATCGTTGGGTGACGCGGTTGGCAATCGCCTGAGTTTGCGACGTTGTAATGGAGGGAATCCTGATTGCTGGTCGTTGTCTGGTTTTAGAAGTCATGAGGTAAGGCGTTTCTTTCCATGTACGCGATTCTGAATTCCAATCTACGATCAAGACTCTCTGCGCCCACGTATATCTTCGCTCCCGTCTACTAAACTCGACTGACTACCCAGTCTCTCTGTACGTGGATTGCGGTATCATTCGGCTGACTCGCAGTAAGTTCTCGCTCAGAGCTAGCATCGTCTGAAGTGACCATAGTCTGGTCCTTGTCTGCCTACAGATCATTAGATTTCACCATCAAAGCTAATATTGAAGTAACTCACCAACTCAATCCACGCCGTGTAATTGTCAGGTCTCAATGGCGGAGCACCCGGTTGCCTCGATCCAGGCTGTTTGTGTGATCCCAGTCCACCGGAGCTACTCACCGATGATGACTTGTACTTGGCCCTGAAGCGGATATAGAACGGTCGTAACATGGGAATGTTGATGCAAAGTCCTGCCAACATGAGCTCAATGCTGCAGAGCATGAAGGTGGTGAGCGAGGTTCCAGTCAAGTTGCCAATGAGGTCGATAGTGTAGATTTGAACTGCCTGCGATCAGTATACCTGTCAACAACCTTTTCAAGGGACGGGACTCACTGAATCTAGCGAGCGAAATGATCACGCAAGCACCTCCAAGACTGAAACAGGCCAGCACGGCGAATTTCTCAGTGTTTCGCATTTGCAACTGCCACACCGACCTGATTGGTAGTACAACGATGAACAGGTCGGTAAACAAATTGGTCATGATTAAGCACTTCCTGAAACCGCTGTCAGGGATGCTGAGTTCACATATCGAGGTATGATAACTTACAACACGAGCATCTGGTCCATGCAGTGTCCGACGCGCTCAATCGTCCACTGCTGGGAGATAGGATCGCATAGGAATATGAAGAGGAAGTTGAACGTGAGGGCCCAGATGACGACGACAGCGCCGACACCGTAAACCCAGATCCGCAACTGGTCGGCAAAGACTCGTATATACAGCGCGAGCTGGCTCAACTTGAGGGCTGCTAGACACCAGATGTAGATCAGTGTGAATGCGAAGGTGATCTGCATGATTACTGGTAGGTTGTTCACCACTGTCTCTGGGGTAAGTTTTTTTCCTTTTCGCGAAACAGTCCCACTTACACCTCAGGTAGACTGCAGAGCTCGGGTCAAAATCCCATCCAACCCCGATCGTGAATACGACAGCGTTCATCCCTATTGTGCTGCTGGATAAGATCTGCCGACTGTCGTCAGTAACAATTCGCCATGGCCCTGGTCCTTAGTAGACTCACCAAGGCTACAGCTGACAGGATATCGTCAAGACCAAGGCCTATCCCTCGAACGCGGCCCACAAATCGGAAGACGACCGTTATGGCGAACAAGACCCATAGTGCTGCGACAGCAGTGAGTGAGCCGCTGGCACTGCTCGTCATGGGTATGCGCTCAGTCTTGATGAACATGATCGCTGGCGAAAAGAAGGGAATGCAGAAATCTGGAGGCTGAGTGAGCAAGCAACGGCGCTCGCATGGTTCTGAAGGACCTCAACACTGAGCTGATACCGCACTCCACATGTTTCCTGGGCCCTCTTCAAGCACGTCTACTTCTGCGATCAGGCCAAACTACGGGCGGTCAACCCGCTTCCACCACTTACGGCCCGAACAGGTGCCATCACTTGTTAACGCGAACAGGAACATGCTCTGCAGGTTCGGCAATTCGTTTCCAATCCGCATTGCAATTTGCTTCTCTTCCAGTCAAGACGAACAGTGCGTGCTCGTTCTGTAACTTTCGGCCGCCCGAAGGAGCGGGATCTGACATTTACAGCAGGCCTGGCGGCATCCTTCGCGGCATGCATGCATCGGCAGAGATACCGTGCGGAAAAATTCGCAGCGTGGGTGATGGCAAACGGTAAGTGATGTGGTGATCCATGGGTGCCGCGTTCCCCGTTCGCCCGATCCTGCCGCTGCCAGACACCGTCACCAGTGCGGTCGGGCCATTTTGCGGCGCTTTTCTTCCATCTCCACTCTCGAAGGATGCTGTCGACCCGTTTCGCAATAACACTAAACGCCTTTCCCCCTTGATTCCGTGCTGTTAGGATTCTTGCGTTGAGTCAGACAGCATGGCCTGAGAAGACGCGTTGAGTCGCCGCGCAGTGCGCAGGCCCGGGCAGTCACCACGACATCGGATTATCCGGCGCATCGCCATGGCTAGAGGTTCTATTCATTTCAAAACAATGGCACTAGTTGTCGGAAACTCAGCATTTATCTAGGTGCCACGAAAACACCCGTTTCGCTCGCGTGGGTCGCCTAATGTAACGGACCGCAATGTGGTGGGTCGAGGATGCCCTAACTCCTGCCAAGTCCTGATGCGCATCGGGCGGTGAAGCTTCACAAATCGATCACATCCAGTAGTGCGCGCGAGACGTCAAAGTCCAATCACTGCTGGGCCTTCCTGCTCCTGGGAAGATCACCGCACGTACAGTCAGTATAGGCAAGCAATCCTCACCATAAGCACAGTATTCAGTGCAAGTGATTTCCTGTTACTTTCTGCTAAGTCCTTATACAGATAAGCAAAGCCCTTAGGAAAGCGATGTCACTAAGGCTTTTCTATGTAGGGTTGCTTAGGTAAGGCCCAACTTAAGCCCTGTTCGGCAGCCTTTGACATTAGAAAAGAAGAGAAGGGTAGGTATTGAAAAGGATACAAGCTGCTGAGAGCTGACATAAAGCAAAATGACCAAAAGCTAGACCTCCTAACAAGCGGTGGTATTTCAGCTCTCAGAACCGCATTGCTTGTACCGCGACCCGCAGCTTCGCCTTTATCAGTACCAAGTGCACACGCCACTCAAGATCCACTTCAAATCCACTTTGCATCATGCGGTTCATACCCTTGCACGTTGCCTAAGAACGAATCAGGATTTGTTAGAAGCAAAGCTATCGCGGCCAAAAGGGGCTTCTGCCGGGATGGTCACGCTATGTACGGCTCGAGAAGAAGCGCAGGAGCTAGCGCCCACAGTTGAAGTGAGATAACTGTTCCCCTAAGATCGGGCTCGTGTAAGTATATATGTCTTGTGAAACGCCTGATCAGGCGCTCTTGTGAATTGTGCCGCCGCGCCAACCAGATCAGATCGACATCAATATGGAGTCGCATTCGGCCCTGAACTCGAGCAAGCTGTTATCCGTTGTGTCTTTGACTGGCGTAGCATGGCTTGCTGGACTATGGGTTGCATACCGGACCGCCATTGCCTTTTACAACATCTCGCCATTCCACCCACTCTCTCGATTCCCCGGCCCTAAGATCGCTGCAGCATCCTATCTGTATGAAGCCTACTACGACTGGTGGCTCGTTGGACGATATGGTAAGGTCATTGCTCGCATGCACGAACAGTACGGCCCCATTGTCAGAATCAATCCGGATGAGCTTCATTGCTCGGACCCTGCTTTCACCGACGAGATTTATGCCGGCCCTGGACGTGTTCGTGATAAGTGGCAGCACCAGCTTAACACTGGCGGTGCTGGACCTGTCTCAGTGACTGGATTTAGTACAGTCTCGCACGACCTACACCGCGCACGCAAGGCTCCTCTGTCAAAGTTCTTCTCTCGCCAGCAGATGCTGAAGTTGGAGGGTGAAGTGCACGACTTTGCCCAGCAGACCGCCAATAAGATGCTGACTTTCGCCGGAAAGGGAGCTTTCGACGTTAAGGAGGCATACAATTGCTTCACTGCAGATGTCATATCCCAGTACGCATTTGGAGAGCCTATGGGTTTCATCGCTCAGGAGGGCTGGGAACCAAACTTCGCAACCTGGGTCAAGTCCTTCTTCAAGAGCGCATACATGATGAGGCACAACGCACTCGGCAGGAAAATGGCCCAGGTCATGCCGCTATTGGCGGACTACCTCGGCGAAGACATCAAATCCGTAATGAGGCAGATGAACGTCGTCATCCCCGGTTACATTCAGCAGGCAGTAAACAATCCTGAAAACGGACGTGTATTTGCCGATCTTGTAGAGTCGAAGGCACGACCAGAGAATGAGACTAGGGAGGAGACTATGTTTCGCCTCAACGGCGAGGGCTTCAACTTCCTGCTCGCCGGAACCGAGACTACTGCTGTAAGTCATCCGTCTTAGTCCTGTGATTGACGACTAACGTTCCGAGGCCATCCTTACTGTCTTTACATACTGGGTGCTGGCTAAGCCAGAAGTCTACGCGCGTCTGATGCAGGATCTCCAGGGTCTGAACGGTCAAAACATCAAGTGGGTCGAGCTCGAGAAACGTCCTTACTTCTGGGCCATTCTCCAAGAATGTCTCCGAATGATGCCCGGCGTTTCTCATAGGTCTGCACGAGCTGCACCCCAGGAAGAGCTCGTATACAAGAGCCAAGATGGTAAAACGGAGTTCGTGATCCCAAGGAACACCCCTATCGGCATGACCTCCATGATCAACCACTGGAACAAGGACCTCTTTCCTAACCCTAACGAGTTCACTCCTGAGAGGTGGCTCGCTAATGGTCAGCCAAACTATCAGCTTCAGAAGAAGCTCATTTCTTTTGGTAAAGGCAGCCGCTCGTGTATCGGCGAGAAGTACGTATATCCGACGCATGGGACGTGATTAGAGCTGACAACATCATAGCTTGGCTTATTGCGAGCTGTATATCATGGCCGCCCTTGTCGCAATCTACGTCGTCCCAAGGTCCAAGCTAGTGGAAACAACCGTGGAGGACATCTCGTATGACCACGACCTCATTGTTGTACAGACCAAGAAGGGATCTATCTCTGTTCGTATTGCGATCGAGTAGTTCAGAATCAACGAATGCCAATTGTAGCTTCCATCATCAATTGATGCATGTCAACCCTCTCAGCTTTACCGCACGTGATCAGTCTCTGAACTGCGTTTCTGAAATCAGGTCTGCGCGATATTGGCACATTATCGTATCTGGCTTATCACACCCTAAGATAAGCCCCTCAAGGCTGACATCCGACGACTGCAGTGATGAGGCTCTGCATCACGTTGCCCGCTCACATTTCTCCGTCTCGTAGCCTTACCTTCATTGTTCAACGGTGTGACACCAACCCCTGAGCGACACCCACATTGTCCCGGCTGCATTGTCACATGGACCGCAGAATACAGCACAGACTCATTGTGACTCGTGGATGTGGTACCCTGCAGCCTCCCGTGATGGGCCAAGAACATCAAAGGAACCTCGGATCCACGCGTCCCGCTGGACACGTCGACGGCCGCCCATTTACCCTCCCACATCATCGGCGCCCACGCAATCCGCTCAGACCGCCCGCAGAAGAACACCAGTTAACGATGAGACGATAACTGCTTTATTGATTGCGACTGTCAACGGCATCTAGAATGATGCTATGCCGACCTGCGATTTGGTGCTGTACCGGTAGTGACGCGTTTGAGCTGGGCTGCGCGTTGTTTTCAGCCCCCAAACACTAAGAACTCCGCTCCGCCACCGCCCAAGGAGCGATCGTTCTCTTGTTGCGTGTGATGTCGGTGCTCACCAGGATCACGACCAGCGGAACTTATGAGATATCTTCGACATTTTCTGTCGAGGTGAGGTGCAACTTGATCTGTTCTGCATAGCACGGTTCATCCACTGCAGCCTATCTTCTGTCTTTCAAACTTTCTCTGTTGTTCCCTATTCTGGCGGAGCTATGCTTCTGTCTTTCTTGTGTTCGCTGATGCAATTGTTCATGCACGTATAGTGACATCACAGACGCCACGCTCCCGAAAGTTGCAGAGCGTGCTGCTCTGCTGCGGCCGTGGCTGGCACGGTGCCTATGATATGTCGTACCGTGATCCACCATCCACAAGCTGGGCCTACTGATTGATGAGAACTGGATAGTCTGGAGGACCCTTCCCTCCGCCGTTGCTCCAGACCCTGATCGGCGCCAGCACATATCACACTCGCGGTCCCGGAGTTCCTCTGTCAGCGTCTTCTACGTTACTCTTCCATACCTCCTGTTGGCCGCTCGTCTGCAATAGTGCTCATTGCTATTCGCTGGCTATCCGCACTCAAGACACACTGGCGGACTGTACCTACCAAGGCCACGTCCAAACCTGTTCCACTTCGCCTGTCTACATGTGCACTCGAAGACATACACTCTCCGTCTGCAAACAAGGACCTCTTGCCAGGCCAATTTGGCGTAGGGTATGAAGCGTGGTCCATTGTTGCATAGGCGGTATTCTGACTGTTTGACAGCCACCTTCGAGGACACCATGAACTCAGACGGCGAATCTCCAGTCGCTCGCTTCATCACTCACGAAGATACTCCATGGACTGCCGTAGCCTGTCACAACCGATACCTTGACGAGAAACACCTCAGTCAAAGTCCGTCTCTAGCTGACGCGTCACTCGAGTCGTCACCGACTGCCCTGTTCAGTACGCGCGAACCCTCGATCACCACCAAGCCCACATCGTACGGCACCGACTACCTGGGCCACGGCCAAAACAAGAAAAGCAAAGCAGACACCACATACACGGCATCGCTCTCCGCTACTCACGGCTCGGGATCAGAAGCAGAAGCAGAAGCAGGGCATGACAATGCTCTCGACGCCACTCTCTTCGGCGCAGGGGCATGGTCGACGAGCCACCAAGGGCAGGGCCAATCACTCCGCAGGCATGAGCATGCAAGAGTCAGGCTTTCGAAATCCCTGCCTTACCGCATCAAGAAACCCCCAGTTGTTCTTCATCAAATCACTAGCAACGCAGGCTCTGAACGTCACCGCACTGACCCGCGCACCACCATCCCTCCGTCGTCAATTAAGGATGGTACGTAGCTACTGGCTAAACATGCTATCTTCAGTGCCTAACCGTCGTCCAGAACCGAAATACCTCTTCCACCTCATACCTCGACAGCACTACATCATGCTTGGGCTTTTGTCTCTCATATTCCTGACTGTCATCTCGTGCGCAGCGCATCTGCACTCTGTAGATAGGGCAGAGGCGGCATTGCGCAAGCGTATAGTCTTCGGAACTACAACGCTTGTGGTACTCGAGGTTATCGTCACAGCACTTGCAGCACAGCGTACTCTGCTTGAAGCTTCCCTGCTTGGTCTTTTTCCATTGGGGATTGGTTCTATGGTTTTGTCGCACCTTGATGAACTTGTTTAACTTTCTAGCAAATGACTAATAGCGAAACATCTCTTGACGGTCTTGCATACGGTGGCCCTCGTCGGCACTGCAATATTTTCAGCATCGCAGGTCCGCACAATCTCTTGCTCTCAGCTACGTGGCATGTTTCTTCAGTAAGGTTATATCTGGTCGTCTAGAACCAAAATTTGTATGCGATTGCACCAATAATGCAGCTATTGAGAATAGGACCTCTCTCCAGGAAAGCACTGCAGCCTGCGCGGCCACTATGGCCGTCCACTGCGGATGAAATGACTCGGCCGCTGGAGCCACATTCGGGATATTCAGGCTCTTTCCGAGGGCATAATATTTCGCGCAACATTGGTGCCTGCGAGCCTCAGTCAGCAGCTAGCCACGAGCATGGCAGTGCTGCGCAGACATCCCGTTTGAGAAGACCAGCATGCTTGCATGCGGCGCAATTGTCCAGAACGCTGCGCAAGAGCACCTTCATACGTAGCTCAGGCATAGCCGGATTGGAAATATTGTCAAGGGCTGATCCAATGTTGTGCAACTGCAGAAGGGGGTGGGGGTGGCCTTGATCGGTCATTTGCTGCTTCCCCACACGCATGTCTGGACCTGCTACCGAGCAAGCATCACTTGCTGTTTGCTCCAGTCACTGCTCGAAGATAGAGTCAGCAGGCTTCAGAGGATGCGCTATAGACGTATGTTCTGGTTTCTGCACCTGTGCACACGCCTCCGAAACCTCGTGATGAGGCGGTTCGCCGCCACTGTTCCTGGTCTTGGGTAGGCAGCTTATTCGCATACCTTCAGGATCGTCTCTCAGGCTTAAGCTGGCGCGTGCATTCCACAGCAGCGATTATGCAATATTCCATCAGATTGTACTACACCCATCCGTGGATTTTGCAGTACGTAATTGCATGCTTGTCGACCTGGTCGGTTCCCGAAGACCCTGCAGTATCACAACCTGGGCAGAGGATAGACCAAGGCAAGGTTATCACTCTCGTTCGTGTCTAGTCGCACCATCATAATCATAAAGGTTCTTGCAGCAGAGTGCTGTCCAGTAGCCTAGAATAGCACGTTGTGTCAAGCACCACTAGACCAGCCCTAATTGTGGAGTGGAAACAGCCCTAAAATCTTTCAAGGTCAAACGAATCGCGGGTAGGGCGGATCAGAACCACCAGTAGACTGGCAGGAGCCCGCCCGCGACAAGCACATAGCCATTACGGTCGGCTGGATGTACGCTCATCTCCAGTGGTCTACGTGCTGTCGCATGTCGCGGTTGGCAAAATGCCATGACCTTTGTCTCACTCGAACTAGCGCTTGCGGGTCCAAGCTTGAAGCTACCGGTATGGTTACTTGAAGCCAGTATTCAGGTACGCGGGAAACTGTCATCTCGGTAATCACAGCCCTTGGCATAGGGACCATCCTCCACTCAGACGCTGACAACGACGCTGGGAAAAATTTGCTCGTGTATGCAGCGTGCAGACGCAGATTGCAGGTGTGGTGAGCGGGCACGAGCTCGTCGCAAGCCAGGTACGGCGCATGGATCCGCAGCCAGAAGGAGCCTCTCACGTTCGAGGATCCCCTCCTCTCCACGGACAGTTGGTCTGAGCGACATAGCGAACTGACGATCAACAGCGGTGAACGTTACCACTACCTCTCTTCTAGGTTCCGACTTCTGTGCTCTCAACAACCGGTCAAGCATGGCGTTGTACTGCTGTTCACTTCCACCTGCAGCGTCTCAGAGCTTTGACCGCCATCATACCTACGCTACGGCTTCCTGCAGCTGTGATTTGTCTGATCCGTGGCAGTTCCAACGAAGCTACGCTAGACTTGGTTGATGGATGGGGGGGGGGGCTACAGAACAGCAGCGTTTCAGAAAACGGCCCGATCACATAAATACCATCTTGCTGACTACCAAGAAGGCAAAGGCCTTGGGATTGAGGCTCTTGCGAGCGCAATGATGATGATGTATCACGGTCAGGAAACGATGCATGACAGTCAAGGTTTGCATAAATGGTCGTCTGCGCAATACTGCACTCCCCTAGTTGTTGCGTAAACGAACGAAGCAAAGACACCCCATTGCCTGGCTCATCACATCGGTTCGGAAGCCATACACGATCCAGAAAGACGTCACCTTCCCATACATTCACACAATACAACTCATTGACACATATTCACTTCCTACCAGTCGTGCTTAGACTGTGTGTGAAGAACCGTTTACCTCCCGACTGCACGTGCCTGCCCAGTAGTCTAACGCTAGCATGGCTCGCGTCCGTAAGTGCTTAGCTCTGGCCCTACCCCAGGTTTTGCCACAGATCACTGGATACAGTCTCTGCGCGGATCGCGCGCTTCGTTCGCAAATGCCAGTCCGACACGGACGAACAGGTCGTCTCCTGATTTCAATCTGCTAACGGTGCTGCAGCTCGCGCATCCGATTTGAGACCACCCCGACGCTCCCTCAGCCACATCGGGATTCCCAACCGCCGCGACAGCCTTGCCGCCCGCGTCATTCGCTCAGCGAGGATCCGCTTCTATCTCCGGCACACAAGACGACGCGCCAGGGCATCATCTACTGTCGCAAGTACTGGGGATGGTGAAAACCAATCAAGTCTTGAAGCTGCACAGCACACGTTGCCGACGGATGTCGGCACTCTCAGCAGTAGAGATGCAGCATTGCGCTGTGTTGGTAGTCAATTCGACTAGGATGGGATGTTACGAAAAAAAGAAAGAGAAAGGCTACCCAGGTGGAAACGGCCTACGTCACGAGTCACGAGTTTGTTGTATTTCTAGTCTGTACAAAAGCCTCATCTTCCTCTTCTCGTTGACCCGATGTTTTCCATTGTCTGCTCAATTTGACTCTCCAGCATAGTAGGTATGGGTTGCAACCTCAACCGGCTTCTCTGCATGTGCGTATTTCACACCTTGAGTGTGTTGTGGCAGGGTAAAGGGATGACTCTCACTGCTGCACACCAGACGACACCGTTCCCTCCGAGTCGACAGCAGCCACAGAGTTGTCCGACTTGCCGATCACGCAAGAGAGGACGTGCCGTGGTGAATCGGAGCAACACGCTGCTCGATGTACTCCCGACGTACCCGGGGTGCGAGACGCGTGACGCCGAACTAATGCTGCCAGCGAATGCCAGGAGCGATGCTTCAGAATGATACTCCAGGTACACGGTTGCTCACAAGCTGAAAGGATCGAGACGAGATTGATATCTAGTTAGGCTTCAGCACTGTGTCTCCCCATTCCCATTCCCATTCCCACACCCACACATCCAGTCCAAGCCAAACTCTCCAAAGTCCGACCATTTCCCGCATCGCAGTCTCGCACAATGTTGTCCGCCCCAAGACCCAACAACCCGATGCGCGTGCACGCTTGTCATCGAGGGACATCATTACCACACCCTCCCCGAGTCTTCTTTGGCGTGCCGGATGAGGAAAGTTCGGGCTTGCTGTCCACCACAGCGGGTTTCACGCTAGGTGAAAGTATGCTAAGGGAAGGGAGCTAGTACGCGCTACTCCGAGGACTACTTCGTAGGTAGTCTGCCATGTATGCACACACAAGTAGCGCATTAGGAGCACATTCTGAGCATGTGCGAGCAGATGTGTGTTGTGTTGTACATTGAACCGTGGCAGGTCTCGTTTGATTCCTCCTACACTCCGACGCGTACCTTGGATATATACTATGCGCAGATCCGCACAAAGAACGTCATCCGGCCACAAACATACAAAAGCAAATGCAGCCCGCTACCCATGCCATGAAACATTCTTTTCCACCACCTCACGCTTGGCCCTCCCCAGACGACTACTCTGCAGCGGCAGGCGAAGCGCCAGCACCTTCACCACTGCCCTGACCTCCCCGGCCACCCCTCGGTCGCTTGTTGCCGCGTGCACCACTGCCATCCGCCTCGCCATCGGCGTTGCGCTTCTGCGCGCGCCCTGCACCCTGTCCGGGTTGGAAGTGGTTGGCACCGGGGTTGAGGCTCGTCCTTGGGCTGTTGTTCTGGCTCTGGCCTCCACGACCGCCGCGACCGCCGCGGGCAGCAGCGCCGCCACGTCCGATGCCGCTCTGCGCTGGGTTCTGTGCTCCGCCGCGACCTGCACCGCGAGCGCCGGGTTGCGGAATTCCGCTGCCAGGCTGGGGAATTCCGCTGCGAGGGATGCCGGATTGAGCAGCGCCGATGATGTTCTTCAAAGCGCCAGGGACTGTGCCAGGACCTCGACCGGGTTGTTGCTGCTGGGGTTGTTGGCCGGGACCAGTCTGGCCCTGGTTTACGATGCCAGGTGCAGGAGCGCCACGGGCAGCCTGAACAAAGGGATTCGGTGCAGTGATTGCGCCTGCGTTCTGAGCCGCCTGCTGGAAGGGATTTGGCTGTTGGACGGGCGCGCCGTTGACCTGAGCCGGGACAGGTGCGTTCTGAGCCGGGACAGGTGCGTTCTGGCCCAGTGCCGAAGCAGGTCGAGGGATGCCACCTACAGGCGCCTGTGCTACTGCAGGTGGTGGTGCCTGAGCTGGCGCCGTATCCTTTGCAATCTTCGCCTCTTCAAACACCTTTGCGACTTCCTCGGTAGGTGTCTCCTTGGCAGCCTTCTCGAATACCGCCCACTTGACCTTGAGTGCTGAGAGCTGACCCTTGGTCAACTTCACCTTCAGCTCGGCCTGCCTGCTCATGCGTGCTTCCTGTGCCTCGAGTTGAGTCTTCATGTTCGCTTCGTGCTCGGCCTTGGCGATGGCCAAGTCGGCAGCGTGATTATCAGTGACATTCTGGTCGGCAGCGCCAGAGGGCTTCTCAGCGGACTTGAGAGCCTCGAGCTCCTTGGTCAGCTCCTCGATTTTCTGCTTCAGAGCTTCAACCTCCTTCTCCAGAGGGATCTTGTACTTGTTGACGATCATCTGGAGCACCTGCTTCGCCTCCTTGTTCGCATTGATCCAGGCCCTGATCTGATCTTGAGTCGCTTCCGGCCAGGAGATGGACTCCGTCTTTACCGGTGTCTCCGCTGCTGCAGTCTTAGGCGCCTCCGGCGTTGTCGTGCTACCGGCACCGATCTGCTTCTTGAGCTGCTCGATCTGCCTCTTGAGCTGCTCGATCTCGGCCGTCAGCTTCGCCTTCT